TTTTAAGCTCTAGAGTTTTCGAGTCGAGTCGAGCTGACTTTGAAAGTTTTCGAGTTCGAGTCGAGCTCAGCAATACTCGAGCTCGACTCGGCTCGTTTATACCCCTAGGTAGGGTCTCCAACGTTTATGTTCGTTTATGTTCGTGTTCATTATGTTCGTGTTCGTTTATGTTCGTTATTTATTAAATGAACGAACATGAACAAATTATATTCCTTAATAAACGAACATGAACAAAAAATATTTTGTTCGTTTATGTTCGTGTTCGTTTATGTTCATTTATTTATTAAATGAACGAACATGAACATACCTCCGTTCGTGTGCGTTCGGTTCGTTTACAGGCCTAGTCGTTAATGATTATTATTATTTTATTGAAATGAAAACTGTAGTTAGTGCAAGGATGGTCGTTTTTTGGTAGAGAAAAGATCCTTTCAGAAAGTATAACAATTTTTAGTTCACATTATATGAGTACGTAATATAAACTGAACTAAATCTGCTTATGCGTGTTTATTTCTTCATAACATATTATTTACTAATTATAATAAACTATTATTTACCAATTATATTGTTTAATTCTTCATAACATATTTCACGATTAGCTTAAAAGATTTTGTATATATTTTAATTATTCATTATCTTTTAACATTTAAAAGAAAATCCACCGACAAACTAGGGCTTACGCAGATGTTTAATTTAAGCATGAATGGTTTTGGTCTGTTTTGATCAGCACCTTCTATCTTGGTATAAGCCAAATATTTTTGATGCGTTACCGGTAAATGTACGTTTTGGATATTATAATGTTGTCTATTTCTTCTTCTTTTTTTTGACAAAATAATGTTGTATACTTCTTGATTAAAGATAAACCTACACAGATATTAGAGTAAGGTTAAAATAACTCACGTGGATTAATGATTGGATCTAAAACGTTAACCTGACAACGCTCTCTTGAACTTGTCTAAATTCTCTAGTGAGGAATCTGTTGACCACCTGGGAGAAGAATATGTCAAAAACGTTAACCGTGCTCCATCTCGCCAAGGACTTGGCTGAAAACAACAAGGGTGCTCGTGTTCTCGTGGTCTGTTCCGAGATCACGGCTGTCACTTTCCGTGGACTCTCTGATCCTCACTTGGATTCCCTAGTGGGCCAAACGCTTTTCGGTGATGGAGAAGTGGCTATCGTCGTTGCTTCCGACCCTGACACCAAAATCAAATGGCTATTGTTCCAGCTTGTATCAGCAGTTCAGACGATCTTGCCGGACTCAGATGGAGCCATCGACGGACACTTGCGTGAGGCGGGTCTCATTTTCCATTTGTTGAAAGATGTATTTGGCTTGATATCGAAGAATATAGAGAAAAGCTTGGTAGAAGCCTTCTCTCCAATTGGCATTAAGGATTGAACTCAATATTTTGGATCGCTCACCCTGGTGGCCCTGCGATACTGAATGAGGTGGAAGCCAAATTGGGTCTTAAAGAAGAGAAACTAAAGGCGACACGGCATGTGCTGAGTGAGTTCGGCAACATGTCGAGTGCATGTGTGTTGTTTATCTTGGATGAGATGAGAAAGAAATCGGTGGAGGAAGGGAAGGGCAGTACCGGTGAAGGATTGGAATGGGGCGTCCTTTTCGGATTCGGACCAAGTCTCTCCGTGGAAACTGTTGTGCTACATAGTGTCCCCGCTCAGGCAACTGATCACTAACCGATGTCTCGCTCAATTGTTGAATTAAAAAAGTTTATAAATGAGGGGGGGGGGGAGTGAGAGTTATTGTTTGGTGTTGGGGAGAAATCAAAAGACAAAGCAAAGCATGAAAGCTTTGATATATGGTGTTTACTACCCATTTTAATTAGGAAGGCATACAAGTAAGAATGATGTATGATCATCTATCCCACCTTAATCACTGCTATTATTAAACCAAGAGGAGGTTTACGTTTTCCTGGAAATGAGTGTTTCAGCTACCGGCTGCCTTGACAAATCGAATCAGCAGGTAGAGAAAAGGACTCTGCATCTGTATTCTGTAACCCTGCGATTGCATGCTATTAATATCAGTTTGCCTGCCATATATAATATATGGCCTCTTTCTCGTCATCATCTTCTTTCTTTTCAAATCAACACAAATGGTATAGTACATAGTAGATTTGGACCCAAGGCAACAAGCTGATTGCTAATTAGCCCATTATGCAAAGAAATTTAAAATTGAAAAACTCAATTTGGTAAAAAAAAGATTTCAGTGGCGAAAAAGAATCAGATAAAATTTTAAGGACTAAAATAATTTCTTTTATAAGTTGGAGGATTAAAAATAACCTGATGCTAAAAAAAATGCTAAGAAGTGAACTGGTTGAACCACTTAGGCCCAATGAAAATAATGCATTTGTTCTGTTGTACAACTAGAAGCCCTCTCAATGAGGCCCAAACTTCTAATGAAAACCAAATTAATAATTAGCTTAAAGACCTTTACACTGAGAGATTGAAGCTGCCGTTCCGCAGCGGCAGAAAGAAACCCAGAGAGAGAAACAAAATGGAAGCAATGACAGAAGAGAAGGCGGAATTTGAAGAAGAGGAGATAAAATACGTTAGCTATGGAGGGGAGCATCATCTTCCTCTCATCATGAGCTTGGTGGATCAAGAACTCAGTGAGCCTTACTCCATCTTCACCTACCGATATTTCGTCTACCTTTGGCCCCAACTCTCCTTCCTCGTAATCTCTTCCCCCCTTCCCTTCTCCCTTTTAAAGCTTTTGCACCATTGATTTTATAAAAACACCTTCTCTTTTTCACGATTTTAAATCGAAACAGGCTTTTCACAAGGGTAAATGCGTGGGAACAGTGGTGTGCAAGATGGGGGAACATAGAAATACTTTCAGGGGCTACATTGCCATGTTAGTTGTAATCAAACCTTATCGTGGAAGAGGCATTGGTAAATATGTTTTCATTCTCGTAAATTTATTGAATGTGTCGGATTCTTTGGCTTTCCTGTTAACTGCTTATGCCTCATTAGCTATGTAATTGCAAAAATTCATGTAGAAAGTAGATGCTGAATGTCGATGTTTTCGCTTATGTTGCAGCCACTGAGCTCGTTACCAGATCCATTAGAATGATGATGGAATCTGGATGTGAAGAGGTACGGTACCTTTCATGCTTTGTCCTGGTGATTTCATTTGTAATGATGAATAATGAAGCTCGTTTCAGTGACTCCAATTTCTGAATTTGAAAATGGATATTACGATCGAATTGTGAATTAAGGTGCAGTGCTAATGTTTTGTTTGAACTCAAATTTAGTTAGTCTGAATATGAATTTCATCTTTCATATAGACTTCAGTGATCACTCTTCATATATGATGTTGCACATATATAAAACTGGTTAATTCTGTGGAGATAGCATAATTCTCCAATCAGTTAACCTTTTTCATGTTTCTAAAGACCAGGAGCATTGTCTATTTTTGTTCCATTCTGAACTCTAAATTGATGGTTTTGCCTATTTTTATGTCTAGTATACGCCACCTGAACACGAATCAGAAACCATGTTATTAGATCAGCATCGCCACAACTTTTATCTTCTCTGCATTAGAATTTTATGCTCTTTCACCGGCCTCTTTTTTGAAACTTTTGATAGTGGTTGAGATGTGATTTTGCTATGATTTGTGCTCAATTGGTGATTTCTTTAGCATTGCTCAACCTAATAACACCTTTCGGCTATAAGCAGTGCAAAATGTGTTGATTGAAAAAGGAAGGTATACAGGGGTCTAAAATGATGGTACTGTTTACCATGGGATCTCTGCAATTGATAAAATTCTTCTAAAACATAAGAATTTGCCAAAACGTAACGTTCCAGTGTACTTTCTTCACCTTCGTGAGTAGATCGTATGCCTCAAATTATATTATATATTTGTAAACGTTACTGCAAGTTTATAATTAAAGGGAGGTTTGTGGTGACGGATTGACCATCGTTAACATTTATTATGTTATTGAAGGTCACACTGGAAGCAGAGGTGACAAACAAAGGAGCACTGGCACTATATGGGCGCCTTGGGTTTATCCGGGCAAAACGGCTTTTTCATTACTACTTGAACGGTGTTGATGCTTTCCGTTTGAAGCTATTATTTCCTCCTCCTTCTCCTCCCGACCAAGAGTTATATTCTTCACCAGACACTTGAAGAATATGAATTGTGCAGTGCTGGTGGTCACTAAGGTTTGTGATTTAAACTATAGATTTTGTAGTTATGGTTGTACTTTCCTCCCTTGGATTTGTTCTTTACTATATCACTTTGTAAAAATGTTTCGGGATTTTTCTATTTGTTCCTTTTAATTTAAGGCCATTTTTTAAAAGATTACTACATATAGCAATATATTACCAGCAATAATGCATCGAATCCTATCTGACTGTAGTTAAGCGTACTTGGGCGAGAATAATACTAGGATGGGTGACCTCCTGAAAAGTCCTTGTGTTGCACTCTTCATTTTTTTTTTACTTCATATAGCAATATATTTTCATTTCATATTCTAAAAATGATTAATAAAGTTTTCTACTCGTAGTGATAGAAGTATTCTATGCATATGTTTTGCTTGATTTGTCAATTACACTTTCTCATATGACAATCATTTGTTTTCTCCTTGTGATCTTATACGTATCGATTCTTTTAATGAATTATTTTTAGCTTGGTTTTGTTTCCAACCTCTTTCTTAGAGATCTCAAGAAATTGGGTTATGAAAGAACTTTGTACATGATTTTTAACTTTTTATTTAATATTGAACTGATACAATCGCCTGTGATTGAACTGTAAGACATCGATTTTTAGTTCAACCAATCTAACTGACTTGTCTAAGTCAGACATCGATTCTTGGTTCAACCAAACTGACTTGTCTAAGTCAGACAGATTCTTAGTTCAACCAATCAAAAGCTATAATCGAAAGCAGCTATATTCTTTTGCTTAAAAAAATATGTAGGCATTAAATTTCAAATTTCATTTATAAGACTCATCGAATTGGCAAACTCCGGACTTAAAAAGAGAGAGCCTATTTTAACTGCAAACAAAAAGAAAGTCTCGTGCATAGAGGACGGAGTGTATACAAGTTATTGATTTGTTTTTTCAGACCTCTGCAACTATTCTTAGCGCTTCTTCTTGCTTGCTTTCGCAGCACTAGATTTCGATGGGGTGGCGATTAGGTAAATGAACAAAACCACTATCGAGACCACAGATATTTGATTTCCATACTGAGCCAGCAACCTCTGCAGAAAGAAAGGGTTAATCCATATTAATTCGAAGGTCGAAGAAGTTTGGACTCTGCAACTCAAATTATGACATGAGAGAAGTTCAAGACCTTGTAGTTGATTCATCAAAGGTCCTTTTATTTTTAATTGTTATATCTAAAAAGCAATGTTATTCCGGAAAAAAAACGGGATTCATATAAATAATCTATCCTTGAACCGAATCTGGTCATCTCTGAATTCATGACAATTCTTATCCATCTAGAGTTTAGAAGGTCGATTATTTAAAAGATATAGAAAGAGTCATACCTTAGCCTTCAATATTTAGTCACGAGTCGCAAGCAGAGCAAGGTCCACAAAAACAAAAAGAAGCCTTTAGTAACATTGGAAACAGGTAAAGGATACTGAAAAGCTTTAATTCATTGGTTATGGTTATTCTTATTCTAAACAAAACTTACCCACACAAGCTTCTGCTCAGGAGGTCTTTCAGCAAGGATGTCCAAAGGCATGATGGAAGTTGAATATGCCTCCTAAAAACACACAACATATTGGAGCATCAAAGCTTGTTTTCCACCTTTCCCCCTTAAATGTCAAGGAAAATAGACTCTGTTATGGATCTCAAACCTGTAGAGAGGTCTTTGTCGGAACACGGTAAGTAATAACTGCTGAGGCACCACTAAACATTCCTTGTCTTTTGGCCTCCAGTTCAAATGAATGTGATAGAACACCACCACTGAAGATCATAAAGTTTTGTGATTTAATTGCTTCAATGTCGGAAGAACGGATTAAATAAAATTCCAGAAAGGAAAAACTTACGCATCAAGTCTCTCCCATGACTTTGAAGTGTTACCACTTACGATATCAAACATATCTTGCGGCCAGCTATCATCAACGAGACTCACATCATATGCTGTCCTGGTTTGTTTTTTCAGAAAGATTGTTCCTCAAGTAAGATAATATCCCCACACCACAAAAATGAATTAGAAATCTAAAAAACATAAAACTTCATATGTGCATCGGCAGGAACATGGAAAAACGGGGAGAAATGACAATGCCCTGTTTTCATATTACCAAAGCAGAAGTTTCTGAAATTTGCACAAATTTTATTCAAGCTATAATTTGATTCTTTACTAAGATCACTCTTATACATGAATTGACAGCAAGCTATTCAAATTCAAGAAATAGGCAAAATTTTAGATGGAAAAAACTTATAAGAAAGCACGTAAAATCTAAGCATTCCAAAGTAAGAGCAGCAAATTCCCTACTTATGAAGCGTGTTTGCACGTGTAAGAAAATTTTCCTTTCATTTTGTTTGATTAAAATTATCGGATTTGGAATTTCACATAGCTTCTCTCAGATCCAAATAACGAAAATTAAATGAAAATCGATATGCATTTTCTTCCTTTCTATCGATTTCGAATCGGGAAAAACAAAAATAAAAGGAGAATTTTCTTACACGAGGAAACAGGCTGCTTTATCATATAAGGCCTAAAACGACATGGTAAGCTACATAAAAGAAGAAGAAAACAAAGCTAGAAATTGTAATGGAAATTGAATATCGGTTCTAAATTGAGAACTTTCACCTTGATGGAGAAACAGAGCTACATCTGCATTAAAGAGATTTTGGAAAAATAAAATAAAAAAGAAAAGAGAAACGCACGAGAAGCCTTGATTGTAGATATCGATAGAGACGGAGACACGTTCGGCGCCGGATTTGAGTCTGGTGAGCGATGCCTTCTTGTGGGCAATAATGAAGGGGGCGTCGCCGGTGGCGATGCTTGCTGATACTAAGAAAAGAATAATAAACGCCTTGATCAACGGGTTTGCGGTAAGCGTCTCCATGGGTCTGCCGGAAATGAAGATCTATTATTTTTTAATATTTTGAATTCTCCTTAATAAGGACTTGAAATGGTTGAACAAATGGGCAAGAGAAGGGTTCATAATATCGATCTTACATAGGGCAATGACTGCAAATCTACCGAGCGTAGTTTATGCAACGATGTCGTATTTCATTTAAATTAAAAGAAAAAGAAATTCTTTAAATTATTAATATTTGTTATGATTATTAGTTATTTATGTATTTATTTATAGTAGAATATCAATTGAGTGAGAAGATTGTGGAGATGTTCTTTTCACACTTATTTTCGTTAAGAAATTTTATTTTTACCATCGTCTCGTGATTAGTAAATTTTTTTAATTAAGTTAAATGTGATTATAAAGTAGTATCTGTTTATAATTACTCTCAACCATTTGACAACGAACGATCAATCACCCTTGCATTCGTTGATGCTCAAACTCATTATCTATAGGAACAATAATAATTCATTTTAACTACTGAGATAAGTTGATTCGTACCCGTAATTAGTTGAGGTAAGTTGGTTCGTACCCGTAATTAGTAAAACAATCTGTTTTTTCTTTTTTCTTTTTTTTCAATATAAATACCATTTACGTAAATATCGTTAGAAAAACATAAAAGAGATGAATTGAAGAAAATAAGGATTATATAATTTAGAGTTTCCAATAGTGTTATATGCATGCAAGCAAACCATTAAAAGTTAAAGGCATACATATTATATATATAAATATATATATGAATGGATAGAAAGAACTTACGGGAGGTTGTTCCTCATGAAAAAAAATTAAATTTTTATATAATTTAAATATTTTTTTTATATTTTCAATTGATAATATATTCTGACTCCTTAAAATTTTATATGTTCACTTCCCTCTCCTAAAATTTTATAAGTTATTTCCTTAACATAAAATCTTGTTTCGGTTCATTCATGTATAGATTATCAATGTCTATATAGAATTACACCACATTAAGTCCATGACATATAAGAGTTAGAAAATTATGGTTTGAGGTGGATGATGCTCGCCTCCACGACTTGTTGATTCAAAGGAAGAAGAGAAAAGGTGTAGCGTGATAGAGAAAAGCCAATCAGCTTAGCCAAGAATGGTTGCCTAACACCCAAACATGGCCTCTCCATCAATATATATATAGTTTTGAGGTGCAGGCAAGTCATTCTTGGCTACCAAACAGGACTCTGCCTTCGTTTCTATGCATGTATATCTAAAACCCTACTGGATGGTATGTTGATTAACAAGGGGAGGAAGATCTGGCATAGCATGAAAGAAAAGAGCCTGTCTAGTTAGCCAAGGTGACTGCCTGGGAAACCCAACCAAGGTTTCAATATATATATTTGATGAACTCAAACCTCTTGGAGAAGGAGCAGGCAAGTCATCCTTGGCCACCAAACACCACTCTTATCTTCACGTTACACCTTTCTTCCTCTCTATATACTATATATTTTCAAGCCTCAAATTTGATGCCAACACAAACGCTTTCAACTCTGTATTTATAGCTAAATGAAGTACCATGATAAGCAAGGATTGACCGATGGGCAATTGTCTCCGTGAAAATTTTAAATTATTATATATTTTAGATATTTCTTTATATTTCCCATTGATAATATGTTTTCGTCTCTTAGAATTTTATAATTTTGTTTCCCTGTAAAATGTTAGAAGTTCATCCCTTAAAATAAAATCTTACATCCGTCTCTGATGATAAGACATTGCATTTCTAAGGAGAATCAGATTCTAAATTTAAACTTTAGATACAATAATATTGAGAAATTCAATCACTAACCATCAACTGGTCTTAGTAGTAAAACATAATGTTGTTCTTTCTAGACGTTCTGGATTCGAGCAGCTGCGTCTGCAAGGAATGTGTACGTTGTTAATTAGTTAAGAAAGTTCTGAACAGATACTACCTTATAAAATCTCAAGAGAGCAAAGCAATACCTTTAACTACAAAGACCATTTGATGAGTTCCACTAAGTGTTAACATTAGATGAATTAAAATCTACTCATCAAAATTCACTATCATTATTTTCGGTCTATTTTTCTTTTAAAGACTTATCTTTTTACCTCTTTTTTACTAACTTTATGATGTAATTTCTCAATGAAGGTGTTTTTTTTAGTCATTTCGATATCAAATCAATTGTGACTGTTAAAATAATTAATTTAAGGCCCATAATACAAAAAATTATAAAATTCGATATTGTTGATCGAATACATTTTAGAATAGATATTATATTATCAAATGATGTTCGAGCATCAGAGACTGCAAGAGTATTTAGATTTTCATTGTCAAATAATTGAAAACCTTTATAACAAATACTACATTGTAATCATCTTTAGAACAAATGTTGAAAATTTGAAGGCATTACATTTTTAATACACAACAACAATTACTAAATAATATCATAGATCAGACGAATACAGTTATAGAACACAAACTTTATAAGGTTTAAAATATATAAAATAAAATCAAATAAAGTAAACGACTGAACTAAATTACAGGAAATAGTAACTAGTTGGGGCCAAAACAGATTTAAAGAAAGTGTCAAGGGACTAAATTAAATGAAACAGAAACATCAGTAATCAGAAGCAAAATTATCCATTTTCCATAAAAATAGGCGCACATGGACTATGCCTTTTTTTAGTTGGGCCGTGATTTGATTTTCTTTAAAAATTTGATGGTTAAAATACCAAAATATATTTGAACACAAAAATTAAAATTTTATTTTACTAATACTAATTTATTCATTTTCTTTGTTCTTTCAATAATAATATCACAATATTATATATAAAATTTATAAAAACAACTTCAACCAAAATAATAACAAAAATTTAAATTTATTATAATTTCTTTAAAATAAAAAAAATTGGGCTTTTGTACTCTAAAATTAAACATGAAATTGGGTGAATTTACCCCCTCCTCTCTTGTGATCCAAACCAGAATCCATTAAAGAAGAGCAAACAGCCATTGAGATTGAGAATTCATGTAGAAAGTTGTGACTTTTACACAATATGCACTTCAACAGCTGATTCAACAAGCAATCAATCATACTTGAAGTGCAAATACCTAACAGCTTGTCCTTGGAAATCGATTCAAGCAATACCCAAGGCGAAACTTCACAGCTGTGGTTATCACAATCCGAGGTTAGTGGTTGACTAAAATATAAGAACTCCACTGATCCATGCACGCTGTTGGTACAATTGTCATGTTTTGCCAAGTTGGATTTCTCATGCAAGGACCAGCCTGTATCCTGTCCTGGGTAACATGGTGCTGGTAATTTTCATATTTTCTGCCAAATGATGAATACCGGTGGAGTTGACACCTGATCTATAGACAACAACTGACCTTCCAATTTATTTTTCTATATATGGTTGGATGTAGATCAGTTGACAAGAACAAATTTAATTTGTCATTCACAATTTAATTTTTTAAGTTTGGAAAAAAGTCACAGTCGGTGAGATAACGTCAATAACACGTGTGAGAGAGAAAGACATAAAGAAGGAATGTAAGAGCGAAACTGTGAAAGAGGTATTTATAGTGGCCCTAGCCTGTCCTATCATACATATGGTATGATTATTTGCTGGCTAGCGGTCTAAATGGATCTGGTCGTCGGATCTTGGATTTCATTTTAGTAAATTATGTGGGTCTATCATATATCTTATCTATATATTGTAACTGGCTCAGAGGGTATGAATTTATTGGATGCTCAGCGGAGGGATCTTTCCGAAGATCCTGACTGGCGGAGTATTAATAATTTCCAGAGATCATACCAAAGGTATAATAAAATCATATATCAATTTCTATTGGTTCCAGAAGTAATTTCCTATATTAGAGGTTCATCTATCTTAACTAATTCTTAGTAACTTTCACTCATATCCAAGTTGTATCTCTGATTTAATTGCTTGTAGCTCACATCCCTATGCCATATATGGACAAGTGGTTTGAATTTAGTCCTATATCAAGGACTGCTTGTATTATTATATGTATCAGTGTGGAAAGTAGATTTGAAGGGTTAAATCTAAAAAAGTGATTTTGGAAATTCAAGGGTTGAAAACTTTAAATCCCATACAAGAAAATGATGGTAAACCAAACATGTAACACCAGATGTCATTAGGTCCATACATGAAGGTTAGTCCCCACGTGCACACTTCCAAAATCCCATAATTAAAGCATATCTAATCCTAACTACCATGCTGCTTGCCGATAAGTCCAGACTTCAGCTTCAATGAACACCAACTCAAAATCTAGATAGAAGAAGGCTACTGGTGCATTCACGGTTGTTAACATGGTATATAAGTAAAATATGTTGCACATGAAAAGTGAAGGATACTACAGATGTTTGATGGAGATTGGGGTGTTGGATATGTGTTTCTTGGAATTTTTCTGTATGGAATAACCAGTTGCTGCGTGAAAGAAATGAATAAATATATTTATATCATGGGAAGTTTCAATTTGCTCCTTTAACTCAATGAAGACTTCTATGTTTCAGCCATGTGAGATATGCCTCGGCTCCTGAGCTTCCTATTCCCAGATTCTTTTTCTCTCTCTTCATATTTAAGATATCATCAGCATTCCATTGCGTACTGGGAGTTTCATCTCTTTTTCTCTTTCTTTCTATACAGTGAGTTACTTCAGGATCTCTGCAACACTTGATAATATATCAGTATTCTTTTTTTTATTGCTTTGGTTCATTTCTCTTCCATTTATTGAGTAGCTCTGGATGCTGCTGTTGTAAGTTTAATTTTGTTTCTTGAACTTGAATCTTATCTGCTTTAACAACACACTTCATATCCAACTTTCTGTCTTTTCTTTGTTATTCGGGTCCATATGTTCCAGAATTAGCAGAAGAAACACTTTACGGAGCTGAATTATTGATAATTTGAATGACTTTTGTAGGATGTTAATCTGTGAAAAGATGGGGTGCACTTATTCTGTGTACGGAGTTGGGAAGAAGAAGAAGCTGAGTATCCAAGAAGTGGTTGTATTTGCTCCTTGCATGAGAACTCCAGCACATTGTGATCTTCAACGAGCGCTCAAGGGCTTAATACCTCGTGATGTTATCGACAGATTGTTTTGTCTAAGGAACCGGATTGCGTTGATTGCAGAGGGCACCGGTCTGTCTCACCTTATGACCCTCTTGTTTTTCATATATATTGTGATGAGTCTTCATATCTGAAGTGGAACTGTGGATGTTGCAGGTGGATCTGCAATTACCGAACTGCAGCAGGCCCTGGAGGAGTACATGTCGATTCTGGTTGGACTTACTAAGAAAGGTTTTATAATCTGCTGATCCCAATCTCTCCTCTAGTGTCCCATGTTTCTCCAAGTTCCTATGATGAATAACTGTGCATATTGCAGAACATGGTCTTGAGAACTTGGTGGAATTCAAGTGGAAAAATTTACAAGATGGAAGACAAGTATGTTTTTCCAGGAATCCATGCATGGTTTCTTCTATAATTTTGTCCTTGCCTGGCATGTAATTGTAAACAATTGTAATCGAATCCGAAACGTGCAGGAGACTATTTTAGCAAACGTCTGGTTTGAATTGTTATCGGTTGTTCATATGATGGCTATGCTCACATTATCTGAGGCTGACACACTTATGATCCCCAAGGATTATTCTGGTTCTGGCTTACGGGTCGTTTCTACAGGTTTATGCCTTAATTTTCAATTATGATTTACTTTAACTCTTAGTCTAATCACTGAAAACCATATGCACTAATCACCACCAGATTGTAAGAGAGATGCAGTTGCTTTATTGCTCAAGGCTGCAGGGTACCTGGAATTTTGTGTCCGGAACGTACTGTGTCTTATACCACCGGAAATCAAGTATGTACATAAATTTAGAGTTCTTGAAAACATTATTTCACGTACTAGCACAAATTTTCAATATCATATAAACATCTCATAAATATTCCCAGGCAAAGTATGTCAAAAGACTTGCAGGATGGTGTACTGGAAGCTACTTCCATCCAAGCATTAGGCCAGGTATTCTTTACTTACGTTACTGAATAAATTCAATTGAAAAATGGAATTGGATCTTTGATTTCTTGTTATAATTCAGTGGAAATGGATCTTTGATTCAGGGAACCGAAATACAGCTTGGTTTAGCTATTGAAAGTCAAAAGGCTACTTTATCAGTGAAGAGGAGGTTGGCCTGTGAACTGCTGATCTATTACAGTCAGGTTTTACTTCTAATTTTCAGTTTGGGAAATCTATGTCATCCTCGACTGCTTGTATGAATTCGGGTTTCAGCCGTGGATATGACTTGTCGGTTACAGTCGGCTTTTTTTCCTGTTGTATAATCAGGCTTATCAATGCTTGTCTGGATGTGACTTAAGCCATGGGTATGGGAAGAAACATATGTGGTTCATCAAATGGAAATTTGTTGAAGCAAAGGTTTCAACTTTCAACCACAATCTCTAATACCAAAACATTCTCATCCCAATTTCATATAGGAATCTAACTTCCATGTAATTGTGTGTTCAGGCTGCTGCTTATTACTACCACGGCCTGGTTCTCGACAAGGGTAGTGAACCAACCTGTCATACTAGTGCCGTGTGCTGTTTCCTAGCTGCACAAGAGCTACTGGTAGAAAGCAAGAAAGCTTGCATAAGCTTTTGCCTTGCAGCTCCCGTAACCAGGTTGGTTTTCAATATCATGATAAGAAAATCCATAGTTGTCATGCTATCATTCCATGTTGCTCAGTCCCGGGACTAAGATCTCGGCTACAAGTATGCATCTGATATGAATATGCTCAGTTTTCCCCCCTAAGTTATCTCATATGACCGAAAATATGTAGTTAAGGAAAAAGAAGATCCGGCGTAACACTTATTTTTATTTTTGTGGAAAGGGCACCTCCCCTTTGGGGAGCTATGAAGCATTTACATCAGAAAATACCGGAGGTTGCATCAAGGAAATCACAGATGTATGGCTGCCTCTTAGAACAAGAGAAGTAAGCCGTTTTGAATGCAACTCGGAGTTTTAATTTACTTTTCTCAATAAATGGTTATGGATTAACTTTTAATATTGGTGGTGAATCAGGGCTCTCCAAACATTACCTGAACTACCATATTTTCAACTATCACTGAGACCTGATGACTATGAACTACCTGCAATGGATCCTGTCTGGGATTCTCAAAACTTGGAAAAACAGGGCCAGCCCCTACAAGAACATCTCAAAGACTGTGAAGATGAGATTGAAATAGAATGAAAGCATTTTTTTACAGTATTTTTTTCCTCATTGTATCTTTATTCTTATACAAGCTTACCTTATATAGAAACGCAGACAGTCACAAGCAATGAATGATTGTTAAAAGTTTACTTGGATCTTTAGCAGTGGCATAGTGCCCCATTGATGTTAAGAGCAAGTATTTGATGGTGAACCTTATAACCCAGGTGTTTAAGATCAACAGAATTAGCTTGCTTTTGTTCCAAGCAAACAATCCATGCAGTTATCTTTAAGACGTGACAACTAAGGTTCGGGTGACACGCTGTCCAACTTAGGGCTTTTTATAGCAATCTCATAAGACCTTGCTGCATGCTACCATAGCTAACGTTGTCCTAAAGACATTTTACAAACTCTAATCTGATTATAACAATAAGACATAAAGTACTTAATTTCAGTTACAAAGTATATTTTACCTCCTACCAGCAGTGTAATTTTCTGAAGAAACAGCATTTAAACCCCTAAAAACAGAAAAATAAGAAATTTTCATGACCCGAGTTGAAGAAGCGGCTTCCCTTTTGATAATTAATCTTCAAGAACCAGCTTGCCTTTCATTGCTTTGGTACTCATCATTGGCTCGATACATGACTTTGCAGCTGGACATAACAGCAAGAGCAAAGTAGGAAAAGAAAGCCAAGTAAGATAACACCATGGCTGTCGTCATATGGTTGCAAAACTTGCTCACACGATTGCAAATAGCCATCCAGCCCATTTTTTCTTCTCCATATCTACTGACATAGCCCACTGCCGTCGATGCCGCGCACCCGGATATCGCCAGCAACATAATCACCTGCAAATCAAATGCAGGAAACTTTAACTTTCTTTGTTTAAAATTTCAACAACAAACCAACAAGTTGCTTACCATGTCATGCAAAAACAGATAGAAGAAGCTCTTGGGACTTGATCCTGAACTTCTCAAACGGTAGAGAAAGATCGGTGAAAGCACAGAAGATACACTTACTATAGCATTTGTCACAAATAAAAACCTGTAACAAAGCCAATAGAAAATGGCAAGTCATTTAAACAAACATACATGAAACTGTTTAAAACCAGTGATTACCTCATAGCAGATGAGTAGCTATAGTGAGCTTTAATGGTGAAGCCGAATAGAACAATGGTCTGGGAGCTTGTCGCCATGACGCAGATTGCAGCCAATGTAGAAACAGCAGCAAAAACCCTGACCATGGTTTGAACCGTAAAGAAGCCTCCTTTTGAGGTGTTGGACACTGCAAAGCCTTTGGCTTGAACCATATCCGAAGCTTTTTCTCTGGCAACCTCAGGTGCCATTTACAGACTCTTTCCAAGAAAGAAGGAAAGCTATAACTAAATAACTGAGAAGAAGAAGAAGATGGTATTTATCAAAATGCAAGCCAATCAAATAAATACCTTGAACAAAATATTTTCTTGTAGTTTGAACAACGTTGGATTTGAAGCCTGATATATAAAAAAGTAAGAAGGGGTTGGTTGAGTGGAGTAAATAAAATTTTGTTGCTCCAATGGTACAAATTTGCTTGTGGGTTATTATTTGTTTAGACAAAAGTTAATAATGAAAAGGACTTGGATCATCAACCTGCAGAGATGTAATAAAAATGGGGGGGGGGGGAGATGTTGCACTGGAAACAAATTAATTACCCTCTGACGACCAGGCATTTGAGTTGGAAAATTGAGAAGGTGATTTGTCAATCCTGTAAGAACAGCTCCTTGTTTACTTCTGGAAACTTGACGACAACCTTAAATGCTGGTTTTTGCAAGGAAAATCTAGATTTAATACGATTTTGTCTTGATTTTCTTTGGTTTGTATTCTTGAAAGCAGATGACATGTCTCTCTCTTGTGATTATAAAGGTTACCTAATATATTGCGTCTAGTGAGGATTCTTTTAATTTATCACATCAAAATTATATTCGTACGTGCCTTTGGTTCACAGAAAATATTATATTAAATGTAATAATATTTTTTTGCATAATTATATATTCATGTCTAGTTTGTCCTTATTTTCATTCAATTTTTAGATAACTAATTATTTGGGATATAAGTTTATTAGACAATTATACTTCATATTAGTGACTAAGTAACGTATTGCCCTTTCCAAATTTTTTGGTAAAATGATATTTTAGGTCCTTTTTAGTTTAAATATTAATGAAATAAGACTTTTGTCCCTCTCAATTTTTAGATTTAAATACTTAATAGATTCTTATTCTTTTGATATAAAAATTTTACCCCACCCCAACATTTGATCCTAGCTCTGTCTTGTTCGTATTAGTTTAATATAAAAATAATTCTTTAATATTTAATGTGTTTTAATTAATATTATATTTTTATATCCATAATAATATTTTTTAAACACGTTATCTAAATATCTAGCTCATAATGTAAATTTGATTGATAATATTTAATTGAAATAATATAAATTTGAGCTTAGTTTTTATACGAGAGATTGACTTGCAAACTTATATCAATGAAGTTGTCATAGATTATTCAAATACACAGAAAATTGGTTCAATAATTAACATGTTAGAAACTTGAAATTATGAGATTACCCTATTTTTGGGTTCTCCAAGAGTGAGGAATTGTTGAAAAGTTTGATCATCGTCATAGGTTGAGCTAAAACATTTTTTCTAAATAACTTAAACATCTATTCTTAATCACTAAAAAATAAACTTCTAAGCATACCTTGAAGCTTCATAAGAAGCCTGAGCATTGCTATTTGCTGCTTCTTAAAACCAAAAACAAAAAGGGAGGCTTTATAAACGGAGAGTGAGATCAACATTTGCAGATTCATCCACATCAGTGCTCGGAGATGAGGTCTCGGGAGAGGAAATACTAATACTCATAAATCCCTGAGTAATTACAAAACCGGAAGACGGACGGTATAGGTGTTGGACGTGCAAGGTGTCGAGATAAGATGCACCACCACGGTAGTCCATAGGTGCCTCGGTTTTAATGCCAAAAGGGTTAACCTGTTGCAGAAAGTTTTATTGTTGGGAGAGCAGACTCTGATCATTCCTTCGAGCTGCGGCTCGTTCTCGGTGGTGGGCATTTTGGTGTCCAAACAGAGCTTGAGAAGTTAAGAACTTCCTTGGACAGAACCGACAATGGAAAGGCCTAGTAGGAACAGCAGATGGTAAAGCTCTTTGTGGATGTTTCTTGATGGGTTTTGAAGCTGAAGACGTGTCGGAAATACGGTTGAAGAAGTTGTACATTGAAGGTCCGCCATTGGGATTGCAGAAAACTGGACTAGAAGAGAGTGAAACAGAAAAAAAGGATCACCCAAAGATAAACAAAAGGTGATGGCAAGAGAAAGGGGACGGTTCAGGGTTTTTATGGGGTTTAAGGCTTTTGTTTGTATTGCTGGCAGGACATGCGATGATTGGCAGTGAGTTGCTGGACGGATTTACCCGACAGTGTGTTTCCAATCCAATATTGATCCTTTCAATTTACTCTGTTAAATAATCTCTCATTTCTTAGTTTGAGGTAATCATCTCTTAATCTAAAATAATTATAAAAAAATATATGTTTAAAATATTTATTGATTGATTGATAACGCACGCACAACTTACAAATATAATTTTTTGAACTCAAATTCTTTGAAAATAATAGCATTCTCTTTTATTATACTATTCTAAAATCATTCGATGGATTCGAGTTTAAGTGCAATGGGCAGAGAGGGGAGTGGAATAAGAGAATAAAGGACGGTAAGTTGCACTGCGTACACATCGGCTCGTGAACAAGCTATGTCAGTGACAGTGGCTGACTGCTCCAATCCACATATTCCACTGCTCCCTCTCTGTTAGTTTCTGTGAACAGCTCAGCCTCCCTTCGTTTAGGCAAAGCTATGCCCAAGGGACACTTATGTGAACACAAGGCTATGATTGGTGGAGCAGAGACATGTACAATATAAAACGATGCATAACATTAAATGGGAATATCCAATCTGATTAGACTCCTAAATAATCCAAATCCATCCAATAAAAACCCATTCCTTTATGTTTCCTTGTTACTTTAAATTCTGATTCCTTCCACATTGTACTATGCAGAGATACCCCTTATAAGGAAAATTTTACAATACGATATCTTTAATATAAAGTAAAAAAAAAAGATATTATCAGTTTTATTATTATTTAAATAATAAAATCAGTAAAAGAATTAATTAAAATATTATTATTTTTATCGATTTTATTATTATCGGACGTTTTACCGAGTTTGATAATATATTCGATAAAAAAATAACAAAATCGGTAAAAATATTTTAACAAAACTGAGTTTTACCAAGTTTGATAATATTTTAAGTAACACTTTACCTAATATATTATCAAGTTTAGTAAAAATCGATAGAAATAATAATATTTTCGATAATTTTTTATCGATTTTATTATTTAAATAATAACAAAATCAATAACATTTTTTTAACTGTATATTAAAACTATCGCACGTCATCATTCCCACCTATAATCAGTCCTTCCATACGTTAATTTTACCCTCTTATGGCCATGCATCTTGTTTCATCTCATCGACAAGGTCTACATAGGTCCAGTAGCTTTTAGGCACTGTCAAACCGTAGCCTCTTTTAATTCATGGATAGTTACTTTCCAAAGAAAGGGAATAATTTATTCAAATCTACAAGTAGGCCAGGCAAGGCCAGGCCAGTTTGACAATGTTTAACCCATCAAATTATTTGAGAGACTCGAGATATATACAGGTTGATCAGGGTTAGTGCCATTTCGGGATGAGATGACTGAAATGAAACATGTACAAGGTCGGCGAAAAATAAAGCATGCCTCTGTGACGTAATTTAAGATGTTTTAGTTGGAGATATCGAAGTATCTTGGATCGTCTGGATAATGGTATTCCACGTTCAACTGTCATTAGACAACAACAGCCTTATTAGAACAAATGGTAAGCGCGACAGGAGTTTGTATTTGTGTTTATGTATGAATGGGTGTATATATATATGCATGAATGTAGGAAATTGCATTACCTTGCCCTCGTCTGCATCTGAGTGACGTTGAGGGAAGACAACTCTGAAGTCATTGTACAAATAGAACCTCCGGTCCCCGCTCTTATCAAGGCTGATCTTCTGTGGAACTGATCCTGGATCAGATTTACATCTCTGAAATGACTTTGAAGATTTCTTGGGCGAAGGGCAAAGAAATCGGAGATGAAGAGCATATCGTAGTGAACCAGCACCGTTAGTATTTTCATTGATCTTAACACCACCATGGGAAAGTTTCCGGTCAGTGTAGGTGTACTCCTTGCACTGATCATTGTTGCAGCCAGTCATTTGTATCGAATCCAAGCCTTCACTGCCTTTAACTTCACTACTGTTCAGCTCAGCAGAGTTGGGATTAGAAGATGCTAGTGTAATCTTCTGGCGCACGAATGTCTACGAACAAGATAAAGATCATAAATTAGAGAATTCATCATATTAAAATGTGCAGGCAGATTATTGCAGTGTCAACCCTTTTTATAGAATAGTTGATCTGCGAAGTGCAAAGAATTTAGTAAGAGATTTTTTTTTATCATTTTCGTAACAATCTCTCCAACGGCTAAAGAAAAAAGACAATGCAGATTAAATTCATATTACCTTGGTGCCAGCCGGCATGCCACTGAGATCATAGTTGCAAAAGAACGTATGAAGAGGTGTTTTCTCTGGATTGCTAAGTACCTGCATAGGAACCCACCAACAAGAAATAAAACCCATTTCTGACATAATACTCTAGACAGGATGACATGATGAAAATGCATGTAGTTTGACACGATTTAAAAGTTCCAACAACAAATATGATAGTAAAACAAAGAACTAGACACTAGTAATGGCCGAATTCTCGTTGGATACCAACCAAGGTCCCAAATGCAAATCCAAGTAAAAGAATTCACGACATAGAAGGCTAAAGAAGCATGCTATGAAAGCTCAAACACAGAGTAGCAATTAGGGGAAGGCCTTTTTTGGTAATAGAATGGTAATATTTGAGTTTCACTAACATCTAGACACTGACTAGCAATTAGTGGTAGGCCTTACCAATTGTATGCGCCCTTTCACAGGAATATGCAACCGGCTTCTAACAGGTTGTGGTTCATCATTGCTAAGGCCTCTTTTCAGCTTCTGATCTCGACACTTATTCGAAGATGAATTCCTTGAAAGATCTATGGATGCATAGTACAGGAGAGAACAATCTCCATCCACACTGGTAACAGAAAACGGAAGTTTCTGTGATCGAGGGGAGAAGTTCCCTCCAGTTATGCTTAGAACAGCTAAGAAACCATCAATCCTCTAAGCAAACAAGACATAAGTAGTAAACATATGAGAAATGCAGTCATCTGTGAATGAAAATTTTCCTATTCAGACTTAGAAATAGAACAACCCAACTTAAATTGACAACTAACCTGACTGTGCTTTACCAAAAAAAACCTTCCAGACAATAACGACTCCTCAAATGAACCGACCAAGGACCTCCTAACAGGAAGTCCACCCAAACCTTTTAAGGATCTCATACATGGAGATGTGGGGGGTGGTTCGTGACAGAAAGGCCAACTTACTCCAGCAGCATTTTCCAGAGAAGAAGGGCGAAATTCTTTATGCACGTAACCAATATGTTCAAATGATCTGCTTGAAATCTCAAACTCCTCTTCTTCAGGTGCAAATATAATACCGGAGTTAAACCTTTCAACTGACTGTTCTGAATTGTTTAGAGTTGAATGAGAATCATTGGTATACTTCTTAAGATTCCTGCATCTTCCGGCAGCTGTTATCCGTTCACTGTACTTTGGACCTAGTGGTGATAAAGAAACAGGTGAAGTTGCAGTTTGGGGTGATATAGAAATTGCTCCACTTCTGGACCTTAACTTATTTGATTCTTGGAATCGATCAGGGCCAGATGAATATGGAAAATTACGAGAAAGATGGGACTCCTTGTTTTCTAGTAAAGGTCCGTCTGTACAAACAACCGAAGTTGTTCCACCTTTGTTATATAGATCGTTTCCATGTTCAAAGCAGCTTGGCAAAGACCAGGATGATGTCGCGAAATTCATTTTGCTGCCAACATTTGCTTTCTTATAGTCTTGTGGAACAGAAGCCCTGTGCTTATCAGCTAAGGAAGTGGAGTTTACTTGATTGCTGCTGTATCTAATGTCCAGAGGGTCACCACTAAATTGATCCGAGAAAAGCATGCTATTTAATGGAGACAACAGTCGCTTCCTGACTAATGACACACCGGACTCTGTTTCATTAGCTCTGACACCAATAGGAGAAGAGTGAAGATCACTAGGAGTTCCCTCCATTACCTTAGTAGTTCCATGTGATTCAAAACCCACAATCCTAGAAGCAGGGTTTTGGACTTTCATTCCACTTCTAGAAGCAGCAAACGATCCAACATCATTGGCATAGCCAATTTTCAGCCCATGAGCATTGCATGAAGCATTCATTTTCCCTCCGGGTTCCTCTGAAAGCTCCAAGGAAGTTTTCCTTTGAAAATCTCCTAGTGAAGAACACAAGGAACCCCCGATAGTCTGGCTAAAACTTCCTCTGCGTATACAATCTAAGCCAAAGATGCTGACACCTGAAAACTGTTGTGGGCTTTGCAAATATGCATCTACAGATGCTGCTTGACCTTCCTCAGAACTATCATCTGAGGAAACGTGCGGCAACCCCATTGCTGATATTGCAAAGAATGGTGAACCAAGTAATGTAAGTGGAGCTAAATAAGTTATTCCTTCTCTTCCTTGCTCACACTTTCTTGCCTCTATTACTTTTCTACGTTGCAGTATTTTCTAATCAATTCTAATTATTCAAATTCATCTAGAATATAACAGAGAAGGGAATTTAGGTCTCCTAATTCTAGCAAAGTCATTGAAGAGTAACAAAATGATTCCTACAAAACTAGTTCACTAATACCACAAAGACAATTGTATTATGTATCAACCAAAGGCATCCACATCTCAGCTTCAGTTCTATTACGAGCCACCGTTGAAAAATCCAAACACAAACTAACTATCCAACGATAATGAGTAGCGCATATCTTCTGGCCTCCGAACCAGGAAGCAAGGAAGCAAAAAGAATTCATGTCGCTAACAAGAAAAATCACCGGGATTGCCTGGCAAAAAATGCCAACGAAAAGAGAAGCTGAATAAGGGTAAAAAATCAAAATAATCAGAACTCAGTTCAAATGTATTCGTGCACGGTATTGCCACTCTTTACTCAATCAAATTCAAAAGTTAATCCACCATAGCCTTAAATTCTTCTATTGAACAATAGAATTCCATCAAAAGATAGACAAGCCGATGAATACTATGAGATAGGACAAATTCAATGATGTGTATACAGCTCCTTCAATCAACATAAATGAGCACAAAGCTATATTTTAAAACCATAACGAGAGCAAGATAGCAACTACACTACCTCAAAATCAATACAGTCCAATCAACTATGAATCCAAAGGAAGAACAAACAGAAGCAAGAGAACCCAGAATTTGTTTCCAACAAAAACAATTACAACTAGCAAATGACGATCTAAAAGACCTTAGAGGGCCAAAATTTGAATCCTTGAAACAATAAAGAAGACACCAATACAAAGTCAAAAAAAAAAATAACGCCAAAACCACGGAAACGGATTGCTCTCCCGACAACCCATTCACCACCGTCAACCAGAAGCAAAGCTTAACAAGTTATGAACATCAGCATATGTAAATAAATAAATTCAGCCAGCCAAAAAAAATGGGAAAAAATCAGTTCAGTTTAAAGCAAATCCAAACATGATCAGAAAAATTTAAAATTAAAAAGACAAAAAAACGAACAGATTAAAATAATTTATGCACGCACCGATAAAGAAGGTTGCGATCAAGTACCCCTGCTAGATAAATCATCTGAATGATCTGCCCATATATGTAAATACTGATTTCTCCACCAAACTAAAACGAAAGGCTAAATAAGAAGATTGAATTTTAAAAAAAGGGTAAAACTTCAATCAAGGATGGAAGAAAATGTTTTCTTGTTTTGCGTCTTTTAGGAGGAAGGAAGGTGGAGGAAAAGAAAGAGGAGGTGTTGAGAATGTGAATGCAAGCAACGATTACACCCATCTTTCTCTGTTTATACTCCCAAGATAATGAAAATTAATTACTTTTAACAAGTAAAATGGAAATTATATTTACCTTCTTCTTCTTTTTCTTTAAAAAAAATTGTTACTGAGCTTTTTAGAAAGAAATAGTTTTTTCTCTATAAAAATATTTAAAAACAAAAACAAAATTACAAGGTCTCGCTGTAAAAAAAACTAATATTTTAAATTAATTTGTTATCTTAATAATAATGTTATAATTATATTTAAAATAAAAATATTATCATTTGGTTAGAGATATATTTATATTAGGAAAGAAATTTATTTACTTTGGTATAAGATTGAGTTTTACACATTCAAATAAAACTTTTATGATTAATATTTTAATAATTCAACCTTATAATTTATATTGTTTTTTATTAAAAGTTCTGGGTTGAAGAAGTTACAATTATATGATATCTTTTATTAATAGTTAAGAAATATTATGAATAAATGTTATCTTATAATTATTCGGGATATATAAAAAAATATTAACATATTATGGGAGAAAGTCTAATAAAAGGAAGTCTAATTGAAGGTTAAAAAAATACGTGAATGGGAGCGGCCGAAAATGTGAGAAAAAGTATAAGAATATAAATTGTGTGCAACCTAAAATGTGACATTCGTTATAACATTTTAGTTGCAATCTAAAATGTTATGTTCTTCGTAATATTTTCGTAATATTTTTAGTTGTCAATCAAAAATATGATATTGTTTATAACATTTTAGGTTGTAACTGAAAATGCTATAACGAATGTCACATTTTAAGTTGTATCAAACCTAAATTCTTATGCTTTTTCTCATATTTTGATCACGTTTATTTTATTTTTTTTTAGCCGCATTTTAACATGTCGCACCAAAAAAACTCATCGTATTATGGAAGTTTTCAAATAAATTTTGCCTCGATCATGTTTACTAGACACAACATTATTGTCCTCTCGTCAAAACATATATAAAATTTATTGAGTCTCTTTACGATTAAAAATTATAAAATAATTCATTAATTATAGAGTGTTGTTTTGTGGAGTACCCAACTATTAAAAGTTATAAAATAGTCACTAAATTATTCATATGTTCCAAACTCATTTTTTTCTGTTAAAAAATTAGTGATGTTTGAGCTTAAAGTTAACCTATTGATTGGAATATGATAAAACCTTATCTCAAAATCGTTTAGGTTGTATTTTGTGGATCGGTACCCTGCTTATATTATGTCGTCGAGCAAGTTAACATCTAGCTCAAATTATCATCATTTTTTAAACGGAAAATGATGAGTTTATAACATATAAATAATTGAACTATCATTTTATAACCTTTAATAGTCAGGAGACTCAACAAAACATTGCTCTATAATCGGGACCATTTATATATTTTACCCAACTGTTTTTGAATAGTTTGGTTATAATTAGTCGGTACATCCTAATAACCTAATCTTTTCTTGATTTATCATTAACTAAAGAGACATTCGAATGGTCAATTTGCTTGTTAACTAGATAGTCTCACAAAGATGTTCCTAGGATTTAAAATATTCAACAACTTATGTATTAAGAAAACTCAGCCCTTAGTTAACCAACTTATATCAACGTGGATGATTCAAATTAGATCTTAAATCTTCATAATTCGTTCCTAAGCTACTTTAGTATTTGTATTCAAATATGAACACAATTATAAATAAGAAGATATTTACTGGAAAAATAAAACAAAAAATTAATCGTAGTCATTGATTTTCAGTCATCCAACAGTTTTAAATTTTTATAAAACTAAAAAAAAATTATATTATGTAAGTAGATCCTAACTCATTAAAAGATACAATTGCAAATGTTTATTATTACTCTATAATGAATATAAAGTAATATATATTCATAAATTTTTAATCAGTTGATATTCAACGTTCAAACAACCTTTTATATATATATATACCCAGAGAGGCACGTGAGATTAGAATAGCATCCAGTTGGCTTCAATACCATCAAACCTCACCAGAATTTAAAAAAAAAGAGTAAATAATTGAATTCTATTTTAAACAAAAGTGTTGAGTCTGAATAAGTAGGCATGCAATGAATGGAGTCTGGTCTTTGTTATCCCTACCATACCATAAGTCCACTATGAACCATGGCTTTTGTGCTTCAACTATTAGGTCTTAGAGTTTGAAAAGTGTGGTTTACGTTCTTATCATCAAAGTATATTAAATTCAAATTTTAACGATATATTATCATAAATCACGAATTTCAAATATTAACCATGAAATAAAAATAAAAGGCACCAGTTAAATAATCATTGAACATCGTCAAAATTAGAAGTTAGTAAATATCCAACATTGGTTATAGATTGGATTGCAATCTACGAGGGGATTCTGTAGGGTTGTTGAGGCTCATTCAATTTGCACACCAGCTTTGCTTATTTCAACGTGTCTTTTCTCTGGCAAAGTAGATTTTGCAATTACTTACTATTTATTTTTGGAATCGGTCATAACAATACAAAATGGGGACATGATAGCACGTTGCAATAAGAACAAGATAGGATACGTGGCAGAATGGCAGGAATCCTATGGCAATTGGAGGACCCATCACTCATCTGCTTATCCTCAAAATTTCTTCTCATGTTCCTACTGCTACCATTTCCTGCAAAATCTCTTCTTCCAACTTCTCTCTCTTTTTTTTAATTCTACTAATAAAATCTAATTTTCTTTCGATTTCTTCATTTTTTAAGAGTTAAAACATATAAAATGTTATGAATTTAAGTAAAATATTTAAACGTTCAGATATAAAAAAATATATTATATATTGTCTATATTATACCAAATTATCCGAGGATTTGAGAGTTAAATTTATTAAAATTAAGATCATGTTGATAAAATATATAAGTAATAGAGACTAAATGTTTAATTGCACCAATTTTTTTAACTATCGTGTCATCTTCTACGTTAAATTTTAATAACATATGCTTTGATTGAACCATTTAAATAGTTAGATGGTTGAATTGAGGAAATCAAAACATTGATATTCAAACTGAAAAAGGATAATAGTCGAGTGATCATACAAGCAGTTTATTCATTTTTTATTAGTGGGAGGTAAAGTAATATCTATTAAAAAGACTCACAACTATTTATTAATAAGATCTTTAAAGATGATAATTAGATATTTAATATTATTTTATTCATTCTTTGGATTTCTTATTTTAAAGTATAAATAATCAAAGTAATATTATTTTATATATTTAATATTAATATAATATTTTAATATCATTTTAATTAAAATATTAATCATTAAAATATTTAAAATATATTTACTAATAATTTTATTGATATAATATAATATTTTTTAATAATGTAATAATAATATTATTTTAATAAATAATTAATATAATAAATAATATATATTATTTTGATAGTATAAAGATAATATACTTATTTTAATAAATATTTTTTAATATTTTTTAAATAAAATATATTAGTTTTAATATTTTTGTTTATAAAATTATACAAATAATATTTAATAATAACAATATTGACATAAATAATATTAAATATTTTATTACAATATTTATAAATAATAATATTAAATTTTTATAATAAATAATACTATTTATTATATTAGATATTTCTAATAAATAATTTTAAAAAAAATACCAATTAAAATTTATGTAATATCATTGTAAAATAATTTTTAAAAATATAATTTATTTTATAAAAAATTATAGAAATTATTTTTAGTAAAATAAACATAACTTAAATTTAAATTTTATGTTATAATTTATGGGCTACCGTACTAAGTAGGCTACCAACTTTTGTCCAGTGGTAAAGTCAGCAATGTACGCCGCAAACCAACTCTAATTGCGTATTTTACGGCAGACTATCTATGATTCCATCCCTTTTACCACAATAAACTTTGGTCCACATCTCACTAACAAATAAACCACCTGCTAGCCTTTTTAATGTAATGCACTACCGGTGGGTAGTCGGCTTAAAAGTGCTGGTTTTAGTGATGGAATTTATCTTATGTGTTTTAATGGGGGAGGAGACGATTATACTTGCTATGAGCGACTGTCCTGTAATTTTAGAGACTTTACGTCTAGTAGATCTGTCTCTTTCTATATTTTTGAGTACTATGGATAGTCATTTATTATGGATGGAGGAAGTATTTTCCATTCTAGGAATTGATACTTTTGCTGGTTTTTTGATAATTCTGTGGAATGTCTAGAATAATCGAAACTCTTTTATTCATTCTGACAGGTTGCAACCGGCGTGGCTCTTGGTGACTAATGCAAAGATACTACATCAGGACTATTTAAGGTTTATTAGTGGGGAAGAATACACAACGATCTGTAATTCTGCTATACGATGGACTCCACCTTTGGAGGAGTTATCAAAGTGAATGTTGATGGTGCCTTTGTTGCGTAGCGTCGACTATCTGCAATTGGAGTTGTTGTTCGTGATAAGTGTGGACAAGTTTGTGGTGGTTTGGCCCAGTCTTTTGTTGGATGTTTTGAGGCGGGTTTTGCGGAACTATCTGCTTTACTCGCTGGTCTTAGAATGACTTGTGATATGAGATGGTCTAATGTTCAGTTTGAAATTGATTCCTTGATTGCTCGTCCATAAGATTACACGAATTTCTACATATATTTCTATCTTCGGGGTGTATGTTCAAGAGGCTCGTGCTATTTTTCATGATCATCCTCATTTTTGTATTCTGTATACTCCTAAATAATGTAATCATGTTGCTCACGCATTAGCAAGTTGGGCTTTAAATTCGGGTAGTTCTTTGTTTTTTGAGTCGGTTTGTCTCGACATCATTGCTCAGAATATTAAAAATGATGTCATTGATCTTTGATTAATATATTTTGAGCACTCTTTTCCCCTTACTAGGTTTAGAATGAGTTTTTAATGAGGCTCATGAGTTTTCATTCAAAAATAATAATGTAATGAACCGAGACAAAGAGGTCGAGTGAGGAACAACGTTTTTATGAAAATTTCATAATTTTATATATTTTAAATTTTTTATATTTTATTGAAAATCTCTTTTTATTTTTTTAAATTTTATAAATTTATTTATTATTATATAAAAATCCACGTCCGATATTTTCACGCACGTCAAATACACTACTTACCTACGTTGGGACCACAAGGAAAAGGATAGAATTGTGAGTTTGAACCTAAAACTTAATATTAATCAAAATTAAAATAAAATTCTTTATTAAAATTGCATTATCTCTTTTAATTATAATATACTAGTAGCCCACGGGAGGAAGTAAAAGAAGTGGTGTTGACCTCGCCAAGTCCAATTTTCAAATTCTAATAATGAAAATTTTTTTTATAATTCATTTAAATATATTTAAATTTACGTGTTTTAAAAAAAATTAATTTAGTTAATATTCCGTCGATTATAATTTCTTCGACCCAAGTAAAGCAAACACATCTGGCATTAAATTGACGGCAAATAGCAATTGTTGTTAAGGTCATGAGTTAATTTTCATCCTCATTTCAATAATAAGGAACTGAGTTTTTTTTCCCCCCTTAAAAAATGAAATAATGATGTAAATGGTTTGTTTGTACATAAACATGTGGTAGTATAAGACATGTGAGTTGTGATTGGGTCCTACTACTCCTACCCGAAACAGGAAAAAAAAACAGATGATGGTGTTGCAGGAATCAAGGGATTGCACGGTTCTGATTTATGTGATGAATTAGTCGCATTTTAATAAATTGAGACTTCAACTCATCAAGTGGGCTCAGTAATAAAATAAAATGTCGATGGTTTTACAGGTCCTGGATTCAAGCAGTGACGTGTGGAACATGTACCACATGTTATCAACCTAGCATACTTTGTGCTTGTGGCTGCAACATGTACTACATGTATCTTTTTAAATATAATAGATATTGAAATTGAAATTTGATTGACATTTTGAAGAACACATGGAGATTGGTGGACGAGGTTGAAGAGTTGAGGTTAGGCAAAATAAAGTTCGTAAAATAATGTGCTTCCTCCTCTTCTTCTTCGGCTTCATTGGCTGACAAGAAGAATCCTATTCTGATCATCATGCCATTAGAATTTAGAATCCAAGCCTGGAAAATTATCTTTTAAAGACCCTTTTGTCTGTCTTTGTTCCCTTTCCCAACACTACCGAAACATTATTTTATCAGAACACATTAATTGTGCAGAATCATTTTGAAATTCAAAGGCAATGAGAGAAGAATCTCTTCACTTTTTTTTTTAATTTGGCTCCAACTCAACCCCATAACAATTCATGTCAAGTAACACAAACCCTAGAATAGTCTCCCATAGATTTGATCAACGGAAGCATATTTTACAAAGGGCATTGGGTTCTTCATATGTTGGGTTGTGTGGTATATATTTATATAATACAGGGTAAGAGAGAATCAGTCCCCATGTGCTAATGCCTTTTGCCAACAATCATCATTGCCAAAATGTTATTTTCAGATAATGTACCCTTGCAGAGATGGATCGAGTAGATAGATGGGATCGGTTTCCGTCACCGTACATAAAATTATGCGTCTATCCCATTAGATGTCTACATTTCGTATGTATATTTCTTTCATATTTGTATCTACTTTGGTCATCTTCAAACAAAATCACTTGCCTTTTGATGATAAAAAGAAGTTGGATGCTCTGTAATAATTTGTAAAATGAAAAAGTTATGGGATTTGCTTCCACAACACAATTTCTCCATTTTTTTTGCCTTCTTGCACATTAAAAAAAACATCTCATACAGTGAAACTGTATTTCTTTTCACTGCTTTCTCGTACAACAATGTGATAAAGAACTAATTTTCTCATCTAATAATCCATTGGTGCACACCCCAGTAGTTTCACTCGAGCTTGGTGACGAGGGTTGAGGAGGAAGACCAAAGACAGAGCTGTCTTCCACTGTGAAATCAATGCAACTAGCCATGTGGACTGCACTACTTGTCTGATTTCTGCCAGAACCATGTTTTTTAGCTTTTCTCTTCCTTTGAATCGCCTTGAAAACTGACCATTCCCCAAGCCTTTCCCTACTGAGCATCTGCAATATATATATAGAAGAAAATCCATCACATCAAAAATCTTTAATGTCTGCTGGCTGCTTTATATTATATTTGCAGGAATTTGTTGTTATTATCGTACCTGTGTAGGATAAAGTGATTCAGCAGAGCCAACAAGGCGAAACTGATGCAGAAACCATCGAGTGTTGGTCTCATTTGAACGCTTCCTTTCACAGAAAACCAAAGCTTTTCTCATACCGATTACTTGATTGGCCCCAGAAGCTAAAATTGGTTTCTCTTTGCCTATGGCCTTCCAGTAACCACAACTCTTGCGTTTGTTGTTACTGTCATTACCATACCTTTTGCTAAAGAAATATTTGTTTTCTTTCACATCACCTGAAACTCGCAAAATATTAACATATATAGGTTTGATACTAAAAGCATTAAGGTTGAGAATTATTAAACCGAATGGGAAAGCTAACCAGGCAGGCTCCAAGGATCGGTCTGCAAAACGTCCAACTCGGGAATGACAGAAGAAGGTAAAGGAAGATTCAAAGCCTTTCTCTTCAAGTAATGAACCACAAGCTCTTCATCTGTAGGATGGAACCTGTAACCAATAGGCATCTTCACTCCTCCATTAACAGCAAAGTTCTGAGCTTCCATGCTACCCTTAAGCTTGTATGTGTTTCACTTATCTGAATCCCTCAAGTCCCAAACCAAACCTGAGCTAGCTTAGCCGATTGGAATCAAGCAAAGAAACCCATGTACGGATGGGAAAAGGAAACCCCAAAGCAAAGGCAAAGGGAACAAGAGGGAAGACTTATAGGGAGAAGAAAGGCAAGAGAGGTAGCTTTTATATATAGGAGAGATGGGTATTGGCCAAAGTGGAAACAACTCTTTCGTTGACTGTAATAAAATAAGCAAACACCCCCAATTCATTGCTTTCTATTGAGGGTTCATTTCTTACACAAACGTGTAAGAAAACTTGTACCCTTCTCTGGTCAAGAACCTCTCTCAGCTCTTTCAGCAAATGACCCCACTTAAAAAAATATTATTTTCTATTTCAACCTAAAATGACCTCATATTTTCCGTTTAATTAGCCGGAAATCTCATTATCGCTAATGTAAGATTATAATAATATATTTTTTTAGGTATATTATTGAGAATGCCATTACTTCTATTTCTTTAGATATTGTTGGATTACTGGTATTTTAAACTAAAATGTCCTTATTTTTTTTCTAAAATATCATTTTTCTGTCATTGAATAATAAAAATTTACGAAGATTAAATTACAAATTTATCCTTAAACTATTTTATATTTACAAAAAAAGTCTATAATAAAATTGTACCCTTTCAATAAATCTTTTTATATTTTTCAATTTTGTAAAAAAAATTATATAAATTTTATGAATTTAATTTTTTTAAAGAAAATATATAAATATTTTCTAACTTGTTAAAATATATATATATAATAAGGACAATTTGGTCAAATATACATTCCAATAATATTTTATTCCTTTAACCAAACACGGTAATCTTACATTTCTGCTAAACCAACCAAACACAAAATACAACATTCCAAGTAATCATATTCCCTGGTAATCTTATATTCCCACTGGTAATCTTATATTCCCTAAACCAAACGCACCCTAAAGTGATGTGCTTTTGGTAAGTTTTTTTTGTTATAACCGAAAATATTATATTACTTTTAACCTAACGTGTTACTTATCTATACTAAAAAATTACATAATTGGTAAAAGAATGATTTTATTGTAACTTTCCACGTTACAGCTGAAATAGTTATGCAAATTATATGACTTATTATGGAGAGCACAATATTTTAAGTTTTAATCTAAAATATTATCCCTTAATAAAATTTTTAACATTTTGCAACCTTATATTAACCGATTATATTTTAGAATATGTTAGTTTTATCCCTTCATTTTCATGGACCCACCAAAACACACCATCGAAGGGCTCATATCATGTTTGTAATACATGATCCACTGAATCCCAATCGCCCATTTCAAATGCCCTCAACTCTACAACATCATGATTAGTTAAAATAGTTGAGTAAGAGATGGATGAAACATTTGTGGTTAACAAGAGTTGTTCCTTAATTCCCTCAACATTGATTAATCGGTTCCTTGCATGTGATGAAAGGGAAAACCTTAGAATTTACCCAAAGTGAAAGTGTGGGATCCTTTTGTTTCCTAAATTCTAAGCCTTGGAGTTTTTGATGATGAGATGGAAGATTTTTATGTTTTGGTTAGCCTCCAACTTAATCATGCACTTGGGATTTGGTCGTAATTCCAAGTTGTTGGCTTAGAATCAAAGTTTTTAGTTTTAGGGTTTATTCCCCAACTACTAGAGTTGCTTCATAATTTTGTTGGTCATGGAATATTAATTATCATTTTTCTTTTGACCTTTCACATCTTTTTTACAGCTTATGTTCCCACTCAATTTTAACTATCACTACACAATTCTATAATGAGATTAGGGGGAAAGTTTGTATACATGGCCAAAATTTGTTATTAGCTCGTATAATATGTATAATGAGATTAGGGGGAAAGTTACATTTGGGTCCTTATTAATTTAAATTTAAATAATATTAAACTTTTACTCCCTCCAAAATTTTAGACGGAACATATAATTAGTCCCTATTATTTTAAACTTAAATAATTTATCCCTCACAATATTTGATTATAGCTCCGTCTCTTATAAGATTGGAAATGATAAAATTAACTAGATCCACAAAGTATACATAGTAGGAGGACTAAGAAAAGAGTTTAACCAGAAAAAACCTTAATGAAAGGAAAGGTGAACTTACTACATACTAATTTACTTTTGTTTTCTACTCCAAGTTAGGTAAAAGATTGATTTTGGGAGCCACGTTCTTTAACTTACTACAATTAACATGTAAATCATTCACTATTATAGTTTACCGTTAATAATGAAATGTGTTTTTTAATTGGAAATGCACGGACTTTAAGTAACCCAATTGTGCATTGTAAGATGAAATTCCAACCAAAAACGACAAAAACAATAGACAGAAAAAGAGTATTAAATAAATAAACACAACCATCCTTTCTTAGTCCAAAGCCTAGTCAACATTGGTGATGGATAATAACCCATTATTAAGATGACTCTCAAATTTTTAATAGTCCAAATATTAATGCCCTAATATTTTTTTAATAATTTAAGATGATTATAAGTTAGTATTTGTTCAGAATTTTTATTCGCTATCGATAATATATACATATACTCTACATATGCAACTGCTCGAATTCGGGATATCTAAGAAAAATAACATTATTTTTTACCACTAAAATCTTTCAATGAGTTTTCTTAATATTGTATATTTACGACTCTTCCTCTCCTACACTCGGCTTATCTTATGTTAAGAGTTATAAATTTAATAAATTATATTAAAAATTTAAGAAATATAAAATTATAAAACTTTTAAAAAAAACTATAAAATTAAATCCTTAATAAAAATTATATTTAATTATATAAAAATTTAAAATCTTTAAAAATTCAACCGCATCCAAACACCTCTAGATGCATCATTGAATATATATTATTCTTGTTTAGCAGAAGTTATCAAGAATTGAAAGTTGAAACACACGAATCAAATTACCTTAATAGTTAAAGAAATAGTTGTTTCTAGAGGTTTCAGATTCCAACACTAGAAATTATAAAATATTTAAATATTTATTATCAAATAATTAAGAGTTTTAGAATATATACTACCACCTCTAAGTATCCTAGTCTAGACGTTTCGTTTGTGAATTAAATTTGTCCTTTACTTAGTTGTCACAGCTGTTTCGTTATCTATTTTCTATGATCCATAGGGCGGTGCTGTCCCCCTACAGGTCCTGACGGATTGTCCTACTATTTAGATAGATACATTTGTCCCTTTTTTAATTAATTAGTTAATGCCATTTCAAGTGTTACTTTTCATACCTTGCTAATCGTCGTTTTAGTTCATGTTCATGAACCATGTAATTTATTTAATTAATTTAATTTAATTTAAAATATATGTATATCAATAATTGAAATTAGCTACATACTACAAGCAAGTCGGTTGTCCCTAACTAGGCTAAGTTTCTTGCCCTAATGTCTACATACATGATCTCTAAACCATATGTTATTATGGCCAAAAAATTTGAGAATCCGATTATAAATTTTTCGTATAACAAATTGAATCTAAATTTAAATTTTTTAAATAGACAATTGTATAATTATTTTTTGCTAATTTGATTTTATTACCCAAAGAATCAAAACTCCTATAAAAAAACACATCACCGATCACAGAGGATATTTACAGACTAATTACAAAAAAATCGATCGGTTTAATCAATACCCCATGATATACAAAGTTTGGAGTTAACATAATCAAGCCTAGTGATATTTATCCCCCTTAATTTAATTCCTACTAAAGCTTTGATGTTACTGAAGATTTCTGCTGAATTTTGATAGCATCTTTTAAAAATTCTTCGGTTGCGTTCCACCTACAAAACATAGACGTTGGCACTCTAAGCGATTTTAAGGATAGTGGTTAGAAGTGACTTTCCTTTTCAAGTATTACCTGCCCAAGCAACCATGTCTTCCCAGGATTGTAAAGTCCTATGTAATCCACTAAGGTGCAGAATTTTCTCTTAAATGAGATGCGAATTGTTATTCGAAAAACAAATGGTTTCGACTTTCCATTAAATCATTGCAAAGAACACTAATCCCAGAAGAAGTAATCCTCATGCGTTGAAGACGGTCACGAGTGGGAAGCCTATCTAAAAATGCCATCTAAGCTATCAAACTATTTTTAGGAATGTGATGGGGGAACCAAATCAAAGAATACCAAGTCATTTTGTCTCATTTTTGTCTGATCTCCTGCTAAATTTGTCTTATAGAAAGGGCTCCACTCGAGAGGATTGGTTGAGCTTCTGTTCTAAGTTTAAGAATCTTGTTAAGAACGATTATAATATAATATTTATTCATAATTTTTCTTAATAATTAACAACGCTAGGGGTATAAATATATAGAACTTGGACGAATAAAGTTGTGTTCATTTTTTTATAGTGTATATGTTTAATTCGTGTTTGTTTAAATTTTCAGTATCATGTTCTTGTTCGTTTAATGTTCGCAAATACATTTGTTTATCGTTTGCGACCATGTTTGTTTAACCTTCATTTAATGTTTACAAGCTAAAGAAAAATGATAAAACTACATCATTGGTCCTTAATTTCCTTATGTTTCACATTTGGAACTTCAAAATTCACCTTATGTTCAATTTAGTTTCCATATTCATCAATATTTAAAATATAAAAAATAAAAGAAAAAGAAGGAACCGAATAAACAAGAAATAAATGAATTTGTTCGTGAACATAAAGAAATCGAATACACATATATCCGTGTTCGTTCATTTATTAAATGAACATAAAATTTTTGTTCATACTCGTTTATTTAATTTAATTAACAAACATAAACAAACGTTATATGAATGATTCACAAATAGTTCATCAAATGCTATGTTCATTTACACCCCTAGACAATGCACACACCCTATAAACACAGCTACTTGAACCCAAAACCTTAAGGGAAAACAACACACATTTTAATCACTGAGACGAGTCAATAAGTTTGAATATTATATAATTTGCATGAGATGATATTTGTTTATTTATTGTTGTAGAATATGTTATAAGTTGAAGATAGGAGTAAAGGCAAAAATAATTGGTGTTGTTTGTAGAGTAAGCACATAATTACTTGTTTGCATCCATATTTACAAATTTATTACACTTTACTGTTCTTCTATCAACGCACCGTACAAATTATCATCTAAAATATAATCAAATAGGTTCAACGTAATCAAACCTAAAGCCTTCCCCTTCAATCTTCTTAGTGCGCAACCTACCTCTTCCTCTCAACTTTTCCTTTGCATGCAGGAACCTCCAAATTATGTTTAGGGGTTAATTAATTTTTATAATGTTATAAACTTATAATGTTATTTTATTATTTTTAAATTATAATTTTTAAAAAGGTTGAGAATTTTGAGTTATCTTAGTTACTATTCGAGTTGTATTTTATAGCTCGACTTGTAGTTGAAATTTTTTCGAATAGAGTTGAGTTTATGAAATTTCAACGAAAAAATTTCAACTCGAAGTCAATTAGAGTAAAAAAAATTAATTTTTTGAGTCGAGTCGATTTTTACCAAACCCTATTATAAGACGAAATTAAGCCCAAACCAATATTCAACCCCCCTATATACATTTGTTTACTCTCCAGAAATTCCAATATTTTATACTCCTCTTGCATTTTAGTTTTTATATTTGAGTAATCTTTTTATAGTAAACCTTAACCCCAAATTTTATATATTTAAACGTTAAATTTTAATCTCAAAATTCTATTGTTTCAGGAGAGATTTGTCTCATTTATCATTTTAACTAAAGTAGGAGGAAGTAACAATTTTATATTCAAACATATAAATGGGTTACAGCCCTAAAAAAAGGCAAGGAATGGGCAAAATAATGTTGTAAGGGCATGACTTAGTGCTGCTGTATCAACTCTGGGATGAGCTTTAAGAGAAAGGAGAGCTCTTTCTGAGAGAACTGAAGCTTCGAATTCGACTCACTCTCTTTTCCACCACTCGCTTCGTCCGGCTTAATCATGTCGTCCACGGTCCGCGAGATCTCTTCAACGAAGTCGACTATCACTCCATCGATTCCCATCAAATATTGCACGTAAACTGCCTCGGGCACATTGCTGCAATAACAATACAAAACTCAAATTCAGACGCAAGAACTTTTCCAATGGTCATGTTTCTATGAATGTTTAAAATCGAGAGACTTACTTCAGTTTCCCATAGGTGAGGAGAGAAAGGTTAGAGTCTTTGATCTTAGGCACTGCACCTGGATCTTTAAACACTCCTTTGATCTCTGAAACAATCCCTTGTAAACCACCTTCCAAGCACACCTTCATGGCCTCCTCCAGGGAGTTCCTCCTAACATCGTAGTAAGTTTCGGTCCCGCCTTCCGTTAAGAAGAAAACCTGTCGGATTTTTTCCAACATAACAAACATCAATAAACAAAGAACACCCTGAGATCAACTGAATCATTGCATTAAGAATGTAGCTAGCATAGATAGAGCCCCTTACAGGATAGTTGTTCTGCAACTTCCTAACAAGTTGAGCTGCATCAGGCTGAAAAGTAGAGAAGATTATTGGCCTATATCTGGCAAACTCAAACACCACCTGTCGTAAAATTCACAGCAAATAAGAATCACAATCTTTTATTTGTGATGATATGTAAATTTCATCTTTCTAAGATATATATATACCTGTAAGATAACTTGGAGAATATGGGTGAGATGGTCTGATTGATAAACCTTGTAGTCATCAAATTTCAACTCTATATTGAAACCTAAAGAAGGCTCCACTTTCTGGAAAGCTTCTTGCAATGTACACAGTGAATCGTCTGTTTCAACATTCCACTTCTCAAATTTGCCATCCTTTGTTTTCCTATATAAACATTTCCCTTCTTTCCCTGCTTCTTTCTGGGGTCCATAGCAAAGGAATTCTGCTAAACATAATTCTGTGACTCTTTTCTCGAAAATAGTACCCTGGAATTAATACCAAATTGATTTCCAAAGTTCAATCTTTGAAGGAATATATATATATACATACAAAGATAGTATATAAGAAAAGTGAACATACATTCTCTTCAGAGAGGATAACGTCGTCATGGAAAATGACAGGGCAGTCATCCTTTGTTACCTACAAAAAACCACAACGGGTTCCTTTATTTATTTTTTCCTGTGATAAATTTTTTATTTCAATTAGACAAAAAAAAACCACAAGATCAGTAGGCGCCGACCGACAGCGAATAAGATTTCGGTTCTTTCAAAGACGACCCCGAATTGGGCAGAAAAAGGGAAACTTCCAAGAATTTGAATGGTTACCTGAACATCGAATTCAATGAAATCGAGGGGAAATTTAGCAGCAGAGTTGAAGGAGAGAAGGGAGTTCTCTTTAATGGCTTTCATTCTTGAATCAGAGCTCTGTAAAATGTTCATGCCATGCCCTCTGTGCCCTATAAGCAAGAAGTTTGGTATCCTACACGACGCTGCTCTGTTCAAATCCACCTCTATACACACAAACAAAATCCCATTATCGTAGGGTTCATAATGCATTCATCAACATCAAGAACAAAGAACAACCCAGATTGCAATTATGATCAAGAAACAAAGAGAGTTACCTTTGGAAAACCGGGCGGAGTAGAGAGAAAGGGAAGCCTTTTCCGTGACTTGGTCGATGTTCGGCACGTCGGAGACATATAAAAGCTTTAAGAGCAGCCATGGTTTTATTAAAACAAAACTCAAGGATCTGGATTCTTAGAATTACGGGGAAGCGTTGAAGAACATGTCTGGCATTTAAGGAGGGAGGGAGAGAAGGAATATTCAATAACATACATCATAGATTCCCTCCAGTATTGTATGCTTTTTGACTCGGTTACTTAAAAATCAGTTGGTTTATCTGCTACTCCCGGACGCAGGGGAAGTGTCTGTGGAGATCCACTTAAATTAGCAAGTAGCGGGGACGTGGAAGGCAGTGATTGGATAAGATAATGGTGATGAATAGTATAATATATAAGGAAATAGTTGGATAGATAGGATAAAACGTGGGGACCTTTTCCCCAATTGGGATGATGTGTTTCCACGTTAGACTGAGCTGTTTGTGGCTTAGGAATTGTATGTGTAAAAGTGTGAGTATTGGTACAGAAGCAATTAGGTCGTGTGAGTAAAGCAAAAGCAAACACAATGCAATTGCTTAGCTTCATTTCAGTGTCCTTTAAGACGTGGGCTTTGGTCTGTGTTAGGTTTCCACATTTATGTGAAAATTATAGGTGGTTCACATAATGTAAAATTATCAGTAGAAATAAAAGATTATCAGATAATATGATTACTGAGAATGTTGTATTTTGTGTTTGATTAGTTTAGCAGGAATGTAAGATTGCAGTGTTTGGTTAAAGGAATAAAAGATTATTAGAATGTATATTTTACCAAATTATCCTTATTATATATTTTTTTTAACAAGTTGAATTTTACTATAATATTACTATAATTAATTTATATATTTTCTTTAAAAATTTTAAATTCATAAATTTATATAATTTTTTTACAAATTTTAAATTCATAAATTTATATAATTTTTTTTTACAAAATTAAAAAGAAAAATAGGTTTAATGATAGAGTAAAATTTTATTTTAACCCCTGAACTTCATATAAAATTTTAATTATAGATTTTTTTTTGTAAATCTAAAATAGTTTAAGGATAAATTTGTAATTTAACATTCGTAGAATTTTTATTATTCAACGATAGAAGAATGATTTTTTGGAAAAATATTTTAAGGGCATTTTAGTCCAAAAAGCCGGTAATCCAACAATACCTAAGAGAATGAGAGTAATCACATTCCCGGTAATATACTCCAAAAAATCCACTGTTGGGAATAAAAGATTACCGGGAATACGATTACTGACCAACCAAACGGGGGAATGAGGATTCCATTCCCCCGGTAATCCTACATACCCATAATCAAACACGTTCTTACATGTACGTTGGATACTCTGTGGGCATAACTACGGAAAGCTCGTTTTGATTCGAAAAATCGATTTGTTTTTTAATTTTGAGTTATTCGAGGTAACTCAAATTATCAATTTGGTTTTCGAATTTTAGTCTAGTTGAAATTTCAAAATTTCGAGTAACTCGAAAAATAAAAAATTTGGATGAGTATTTTGACAAATTTGTGATTTGGTCCCTAATTTCTTATTCCTTCAATTCCTCCTTCATTTTAAGTCAAAATTTCATCAAATTTGAACCAGATGCTTCTAAACCATAATATAATACATATGTACTTTCAATTCCACTTTTGATAGCAAATTTTCTACTTTTTAAATTTAGTCCCTCAATTTTGCATGATTTCCGTATTTTTTTCAATTCATCATTCATTTTAAGTACGTTTTTGACCAAATTTAAATCACATGTTTCCCTACCACCATAGAATACCTATGAACTTCAATAATTTTTTTACTAAAAATATACTCTCTTTTTTAATTTAGTCCTTTAACTTTACATTTTTATCAATTTAGTCTTTTGGCTACAATTGTTTTTAAATTTTTTCTTCACATCAATTCTTTGACTCCTTTATACTCTCATTAATCTTTTATCCTCAAAATATATTCTTTGAAATATAATATTGTAAATATATTTTAAATTTTAGGTTGTATGTGATATATTAAATAATATTGTAATGTGAAAAGAATATGAAGAAATATATATCTTATATGGTTAGAGAAATTCAAAAAATTGGAATAAATTCGTACTATAATACTATAAATAATTTCAATTAAATTTGTATAGAAACTCAAACAACTTGACTTGAATTTCTTAAACTCGACTTAGAAAAATTTCAAGTTAAGTTCGAGTTATAAAATATGACTCGCCAACTTGAATAACTCAAAATTTTTTCGATCGAATGCTCACCCCTAAGTATATCATGTTTCAGATGCAAGTAATGCCCAGACAATAGACGGATACCCATCCTAAAATTCATATTTTTCTTATGTTAAATGTCAATTTAGTTGATAATGTCCACCTTAAAATTTTATTTATGTCAACTTGAAATCAAAAATTTATATTATTAGTATATATATTCACCCTCAAAAATATTTTTAGATTTATACATAACCATCTCCTTCTATTTGTAACTCGACTCTGTATAAAATAATACAGTCAGCTAGAAAAGGAGGAGAATACGTGTATGAGTCACTGGTGCATCATATATAAATAAAAGTTGCTTTCTTTTCGTGGTTGTCATATGATAATTGTTAAAAGTCCAAAGTTTGGCAACCAACATTGAAAATAGTTTTCAAAGTTTGGTAAATGTTTCTTTGAAAATGGTTTTTAAAGTTTGGTAAATGTTTCTTTGAAAAATGGTTTTTCAAAGTTTGGTAGATGTTTGTTGAAAAATTGTAATGAGGTAATTATAATTAGTCACTGGACTTTAAGGTATTTATAAGATTAGTCCTTAAGCTTCAACTATAAATACACTAACCCATTTAGCTTCAAAATCATCCCAAAATCTCAAATCATTTCTTTCTCCCATTACTAGAGAGCTTTCTTGTGAGTAGTGAGTGTTTTGTAAACACCTGTAAATTTTCTCTCTTAGTAAAAGATTTGCAGCGGTCCGGAGACTTAAGCAAAATTAGCTGAACTCCGTTATCAATTTCGGGTATTATTTTTCCGCTTTTATTTCACATTCTCACTAATTTGGTTATAGGGAAATTACTCGTACTTGGTTTATTTCTCAACAACTGGTAATCAATGCTTTTGGTTGTGAATTTTGTCAATTTTTTCCGAGGTTACTATTCATTACTATTCATGTGAATAGTGAATTTTGTGAATAGTGAAATTACCGGTGATACGAATTTGTCGACGGAGGTGTTCTAATACACGGTGGTTCGCAAGAATTGTCAGAAACGATCCAAACGAAGCCAGATTCGAGTGGGAGCGATGGCTGCAGACGAAGGGAATGTGAAAATTAAAAAGTTCGATGGTGCGGACTTTGGCTTTTGGAAGATGCATATTGAAGATTTTCTGTACTAGAAAAATCTATATCAACCTCTCTCTGGAAAGCAACCAGAGGGCATGAAGAATGAAGACTGGGATCTGCTCGACAGACAAGCCCTCGGAGTTATCCGACTGACGCTATCCCGCAATGTTGCTTTCAACATAGCAAAGGAAAAGACCACGGCGTGTATTATGGCGGCTCTCTCCAGTATTTATGAGAAGTCGTCGGCCTCAAACAAAGTGCACTTGATGAGGCGATTATTCAATTTGCAGAAGGCGGAAGGGGCATCAGTGGCTCAACACCTGAATGAACTCAATATAATCACAACTCAGTTGAGTTCAATGGAAATTGAATTCGATGATGAAGTTCGAGCTTTAATTCTCTTATCATCTCTACCAGACAGTTGGAATGTTACTGTTACGACAGTCAGCAGCTTGTTGGGAAACAACAAATTAAAATTCGACGATGTTCGGGATCTGGTATTGAGTGAAGAAATTCGACGAATAGAATCGGGTGAAGCATCAACCTCCTCAGCCTTGCATACAGAGTCCAGAGGGAGAACTTCAGAAAGAAATTCAAATCGTGGCAGATCAAAATCCAGAATGGGAAAAGCAATAACGGGAAAGAAAGATTTTACCTGTTATAACTGCGGCAAGAAGGGTCACTTTAAAAGAGATTGCCGAGCATTGAAGAAAAATACCGACGCACAGGATTCTGCCAACGTGACAGAGGAGACAGGTGATGTCATGATTCTAAGCGTCAACATTCCAATTAAATTATGGATCTTGGATTCAAGGGCATCTTTCAACTTCACCCCATGCCGAGAAATCATGGAGAACTATGTCAGTGGTGATTTTGGGAAGGTTCATCTAGCCGATGATAAAACCTTGAAGATCGTCGGAAAATGAGACATCCGATTGAAGCTGCCAAACCAGACCACCTGGAAGCTGACAGGAGTGAGACATATTCCTGGCCTTAAAAGAAATTTGATTTCTGTAGGACAGCTTGATATAGAAGGTTATAGTACAACATTTTCAAGCTGTGAATGGAAGATTACCAAAGGAGCACTCGTCATTGCTCGTGGTAAGAAGACTGTTACTCTCTATGTAACCTCAAATTTAGAGAATATCATTACAGTAGCATATGATAATGGAAAATCAAACTTGTGGCACCAAAGGCTTGGACATATGAGCGAGAAAGGGATGAAGACACTTTTGTCAAAAGGGAAGCTGCCGGATCTAAAGAATATAGATGTCGGACTATGCAAGGATTGCATCTTTGGCAAACAAAAGAAAGTTAGCTTTACAAAGATTGGCAAGACACCTAAGGCAGAAAGGTTAGAGTTGGTTCATACTGATGTATGTTGACCATCTCCAGTTTCATCTCTTACAGGCTCATTATATTATGTCACCTTCATCGATGATTCTACGAGAAAGGTGTGGGTTTATTTTCTGAAGAAGAAATCAGAAGTCTTTGATACCTTCAGAAAATTGAAGGCCATGGTGGAAAATGAGACTGGTTTGAAAGTCAAGCGGCTGAGGTCTGATAATGACAGAGAGTACAAAAATAGTAGATTCAGAGATTTCTGTGCAAACAATGAGATCAAGATGGAGACAACAATTCCCATGACACCGTAGTAGAATGGCGTAGCAGAGCGCATGAACAGAACTCTGAATGAACGTGCTAGAAGCATGAGGATACATGTCGGATTGCCCAAATTTCTATAGGCTGAAGCTTACCTGATCAACCGTGGGCCCTCAGTTTCTTTGGATGGTAGAATACCAGAGGAAGTTTGGAGGAAGAAAGAAATAAACCTTTCACACTTAAGAGTGTTTGGCTGTATTTCTTATGTACACATAGACTCTGCTGAAAGAAGTAAACTTGATGCTAAGTCCAACAAATGTGTCTTTGTTGGTTATGGCGGTGATGAGTTCGATTATCGGTTTTGGGACTATGAAAATCGGAAGATCATCAGAAGCAGAGACGTCATTTTCAATGAGAATGTGATGTACAAAGACAGGGCAACCATAGAATCAAGTAGCTCCAATACCAAAGCTGAAACAAAGGAATTTGCTGAGTTTGAGGAGATTTCTGGAAATGATGTTCAGATCAATCCTGAAGCAGTTCAAGAAGAACCAAGCACACCAGAACTGAGACGCTCCTCCAGAATTCCTAAACCAACCCAACGGTATTCTCCTTCTTTGCACTACTTGTTGCTGACTGACAATGGTGAACCAGATTGCTATGATGAAGAAATGCAAGTGAAGGATTCAGTCAAGTGGAAGTCTTTCATGAAAGATGAGATGGTCTCGCTTATGTCAAATCAGACATAGGAATTAGCTGAATTACCACCAGGCAAGAAAGCGCTCCACAACAAGTGGATTTACATGATCAAAGAAGAGCATGATGGGAGCAAACGCTACGAAGCAAGATTGGTTGTAAAACTGTCTACAGTCAGACTGGTGTTGAAAATTGTAGCTGCAGAAAATTTACATCTTGAGCAGTTAGATGTGAAGACAGTTTTCCTTAATGGTGATTTGGAGGAAAAAATCTATATGAGGCAGCCAGAAGGCTTCATAGAGGCAGGCAAGAAAAACCTGGTATGCAGATTGAAGAAGAGCTTGTATGGTTTAAAACAAGCTCCTAGACAGTGGTACAAGAAGTTCGATAACTTCATGGGTAGTAGTGGTTTTACCAGATGCCAAGCAGATCATTGTTGCTACATCAAGAAGTTCGACATCTTCATTATTTTATTGTTGTATGTTGATGACATGCTTGTTATAGGTTCAGACATGCAAGAGATTATAAACTTGAAGAGAAAATTGTCGAAGCAGTTTGCAATGAAATATCTGGGCGCTGCAAAGCAGATTCTAGGGATGAGGATTAAGAGAGACACAAAGTCGGGGACTTTGATGTTATCACAGGCTGAGTACATCAACAAAGTACTCTCCAGGTTCAACATGCAAGATGCTAAACCAGTAAGTACACCTTTAGGTGTTCATTTTAGTCTCTCCAAAGAACAGTCACCAAAGACGGAGGAAGAATGTGCACACATGGTGAATGTGTCGTATGCCTCAGCAATTGGAAGTCTGATGTATGCCATGGTTTGTACCAGACCAGATATTGCTCATGCAGTGGGAGCTGTTAGCAGGTACATGAATAATCCAGGCAAGGTACATTGAGAAGCAGTCAAATGGATCCTCAAATATCTGCGAGGTACCACAAACAAAGCACTTTGTTTCAATGGTGGAGATACGATATTGACAGGATATGTAGATGCTGACTTAGTCGGAAATGTTGACATCAGAAGAAGCACTACGGGGTATGTCTATACTCTAGGAGGTACTGCAGTGAGTTGGGTTTCTCAACTACAGAAGATAATTGCTCTCTCCACAACTGAAGCAGAATATGTCACTGTTACGAAAGCCAGCAAGGAGATGGTGTAGCTCCAAAGTTTCTTGGAAGAGTTAGGCAAGAAAACAATGTCTTGTACTGCAACAGTCAAAGTGCTATCAATCTAGCAAAGAATTCGTCTTTTCATTCCAGGACGAAGCACATACAATTGCGATATCATTTTATTTGGTCTCTTTTGGAAGATGAGATTTTGAAACTTGAAAAGATTAGCGGAGCTCAAAATCCGGTAGACATGTTGACAAAGACGGTGACCACGGACAAACTGAAGTTGTGTTCAGCTTTAGTTGGCATGCTAGAATAACAATACTATAAATTTTGCTGCATCGATCGAGGTGTAAGACATATTAAAATCAGTCTTCAAGTGGGAGATTGTTAAAAGTCCAAAGTTTGGCAACCAACTTTGAAAATAGTTTTCAAAGTTTGGTAAATGTTTCTCTGAAAATTGTTTTCAAAGTTTGGTAAATGTTTCTTTGAAAAATGATTTTTCAAAGTTTGGTAGATGTTTGTTGAAAAATTGTAATGGGATAATTATAATTAGTCACTGGACTTTAGGGTATTTATAAGATTAGTCCTTAAACTTCAACTATAAATACCCTAACCCATTTAGCTTTAAAATCATCCCAACATCTCAAATCATTTCTTTCTCCCATTACTAGAGAGTTTTCTTGTGAGTAGTGAGTGTTTTGTAAACACCTGTAAATTTTTTCTCTTAGTAAAAGATCTATAACAGTCCAGAGACGTAAGAAAAATTGGCTGAACTCCGTTATCAATTTCGGGTATTATTTTTCCGCTTTTATTTCGCATTCTTACTAATTTGGTTATAGGAAAATTACTCGTACTTAGTTTATTTCTCAACAGTAATAATTTATTTTATTGATTGTATTCATTCTTAAATTTAATTTGCGCATCCATTGTACAAAAATTTTATATTATTAATATATGTGTTCGTCCTCAAAAATATTTCTGAATTCATCGTTGTGTTCGATTCCGTCACGATACAACCGGTCAGTTTGTGTATACACATATAGATTCATATATAAGCAAAGGTTCTGCAGTGCTGCAGCAACAACTAGGTTGCCCTTGTTCCAATTGTTGAATATTTAAATAATCCCAAACCCCCATCATTTCTGTCAACATATCAAACGGCTATAATTATCTCATCAATACGATCATCTTCTCCAAGCTCTACTTACTTTTGACCATTTTGACTCCCTTTATAAGTAGCAGCAAAACCAGAGGGCATCAGCTAGATAATCTACTACTTTGAATGCTATGGCGTTTCAACTTTTCAATCTTTTTAAGCCTTTCTGCTATAGTAGTATAGCACATGCAGTGCAATATAATATTATTTCCTTGGCTTTTGGTACGTTTCTATCAGTGGATGGGGATTATGTTAACTTTATGAAACCAGAAAACATAAGCCTCATGTTTGAATTACTTTGTATATCATTAATTAAAGTGAATAGGAACACTTTGCTTACTAATATGGTACAGATCAAATTCTTACATATAGTTGAAGTTATCTTCGATATCAAAGATGCAAAACAGATAATATTGCTTATGAGTCCCACATGTAACAAATAACTGCAACACACGTCGAACATATTCATATTCTCAGCTGCATTTTAAGAGAAAGAAAAGGAAAATGAAAGAAACCGACCAAATCCAAGATAGACTACACCCTATATAGAATATCACAACCCTTGAGAATATTCACACTCCATCTCATCATCTCCTCTCACACTCACCTTTGTCATATTTAATTTTAATTATCATCTGATTCATTGTATTGACTGTGTATAAAATTATATCCGTATTTTGGATTATTTTTCTGTCTACAAATACCAACTAATCCAAAACCATCACGTATTCATCACTACCAAGCCAAAGCCAAAGCCAAAATCACAAATCTAAAGCTTTAAAATGCATTGCCAGACGACAGGTTCATGGGGATATTACATGCCGACCACCAGGACTAGTACTGTTGTTGTCGGGGACCCATTGGAGAGGATAGAGAGGTTGGCTTCGGAGAAAGCGGTGGTTATCTTCAGTGTTAGCAGCTGCTGCATGTGCCACGCCATTAAGAGGCTGTTTTGTGGCATGGGAGTTAACCCAACCGTGATTGAACTTGATGAAGAGCCGAGAGGGAGAGATATGGTGAAGGCTTTGATAAGGCTGCTGGGTACCTCTCCTGTTGTTCCTGTTGTTTTCATTGGTGGGAAGCTTGTGGGTGCAATGGACACGGTCATGGCTTCTCATATCAATGGCACTCTTGTCCCTTTACTCAACCAAGCTGTAGCTCTCTGGCTCTGATTTTCTTTAGCTTCCACCATTACGGTTTAGAAAGAAGGTATAGAAAAAGTATGGCAGAGGAAGAGGAGTAGAGTCACCTCCATTTGAGATACAACAATGACTTAAATGTCTTAGTTCCTAGGTTTGCTCTGTGTTTTTTTTTTTACTAATCTTGATTTCAAGACTGAAACATAATGGCTCCCTCCTTCGTAGGAATCGAAAGAAACTATTATATTTACATATATTTAGTGATTTCCAGAGTTTTCTCGCTTTAATTTTGCTCTTTATTAATCTACGGAAATGGAATGCTCAAGGGTTTAGAAGATTAGTGGCGGACTATGGACCTGCAACCGTGTTTCCTTTTGAGCTTATCCATGAAAATATCCAAGCAAAAGAAAAATGAATAGAAATTGAGAAAGGAGTGTTCCCCCCCCCCCCCCCACACACATGGAGTGGGGTGAGTGTTCTTTTTGTGAGTCAATTTGAGTACAATGATATCAAATTAGTTCAGTTGATGAATATTAAATTAAAATTTTGCTAATAATAATTGATTTCTAAGTTAGAACAAATAAACATAAATCTCTCTCTATATATAAATTAGTTTATATGTAATCTTTTTTATCTTAATGTTATATATCTTATTTTAAATTTAAAAAAATTAATTAAAGATTTTAGGATTTATTTTCGGAATTGAGGTATAGGTTTGTCTTTATTTGCTCAAGGATCATGTGAGGTATAGGTTTGTGTTTTCTTGCTTAGGGATCATGTGCCCTTGCGAGGTCAGGAAGATCGGAGAGAGAGAGGGCATAGTATGGCATTGAGAGTTACCAAATGGTAAGTGTAGGAATGGATCAAGAGAGGTAACAGTTAGGATAATATTCTTTAAAAAATTTAAATTATCATATATTTTAAATATTTTTAATTTTTTATTAATAATTTAATTTTGTTTTTGTAAAAGTTTTATAATTTTATCATACATAAAATTTTAAAAGATTTTGATTCATATCAAGTGGTCCCATAGAGGCATCTTTGGAACTTTAACAAGATAAGGCGTTGGTTATATTCAATTAGTATGCGTTTGGTTCACAAAATGTAAGATTACCAGTGGAAATAAAAGATTATCAGTGAATATAATTACTGTGAATGTTGTATTTTGTGTTTGGTTGGTTTAGCAAGAATGTAAGATTACCATGTTTGGTTAAAAGAATGAAAGATTATTGGAATGTATATTTTACCAAATTGTCCTAATTATATATTTGTTTTTTTAACAAGTTGGAAAATATTTATATATTTTCTTTAAAAATTTAAATTCATAAAATTTATATAATTTTTTTTACAAAATTGAAAATATAAAAATGTTTAATGAAAGGGTAAAATTTTATTTTAACTCCTGAACTTTATATAAAATTTTAATTATATACTTTTTTTTAAATCTAAAATAGTTTAAGGATAAATTTGTAATTTAACCTTAGTAGAAGCTTTATTATTCAATGACAGAAGAATGATATTTTTGGGGGGGAAATTAAGGGCATTTTAGTCCAAAACGCCGGTAATCCAACAATACCTAAGGGAATGGATAATGACATTTTCGGTAATATACCCAAAAAAATCCACTATTGGTAATTTTACATTACCAGGAATGAGATTCTCGGCCAATCAAACGGGAGAATGTGAATTCCTTTCCCATGAGTGAATTCATTTCCCATGAGAATCTCACATTTCCCGAACCAAACAAACCCTTATTGTAATAATAAGGAATGAAAGCATGGGCATCTTTGGCAATCCACTTGTAAATTAAGATTGAGGGAATGCAATGGGTATTATTGATCGCGTCATATATACACACAAGTAGAGTATCATCTCCGGTGTCGTTGAAGAATCAGTACAACCTTAAACAAAACTTAAAATTGTGTTCTGTACAACAAAAATAGATGTAGGAGTGCTTGATAGAACATAAAATAGGAAGGTAAAATTACAAAAAATAATCAGTGTTAATGGGCACATATTGGGACTAGGACCGTAAACGAGTCAGGTTGAGTTTAAGTATTATTGAGTTTGATTTAATTTGAAAAGTTTAAATCGGAGTTCGATTTGATTCGAATGTTCGCGAGCTTAAAATTGTCAAACGTGATCCGAACTCAAAATAAAAAACTGAAACTCAAAAAAACTTGAATTCAAAACAATCTCAGACTTAACTTGATTGAAATTCAAACTCAAGCTCGAATATAAACTTTAAGTATATGAAAATCTTAAATTGTATTTTTTATATAAAATAACAACATATAAATGTTAATATTATTAATAGGCAAAAGGGTCACTTCTGTCTCATGTAGTAGATTCAATTTATCATTTTCACACCTATCGTATTTTCGCATTAATTTAGCATTCGGAGTTGTTCAATTACATCATTTTATGTCATACCCCTCACTTAAAATTTTAAATTGAGGGTTTTAAGTTAGTGATTAAGGTTTAGGGTTTAGATGTTATAGAGTTATAGTTTAGGGTTATTAATTTAGGATTTTAAGTTAGAGGTAAGGTATAGAATGATGCAATTAAACAACTTTGAGGGCTAAATTAATACGAAAATATAATAGAGACGAAAATGATAAATTGGATCTACTATAGGGGCAAAAGTGACTCTTAACCCATATTAATAATATAATTAAAAAAATCAAATTACTCATAAACTTTTCAAATCAAATATCAAGTAACTCAATTCGAATCATTAATAATTTACATCAAGTTTAAATTTGAATCAAATTTATTCAATTTAAACATTGATTAAATTAAATTTAAATTATTTATAATTCCTTTCGTTTCATTTATAACCCTAATTAATACGTACGAAGTCATAACTCAGCCCAAACGCATGCTGATGGGCTATGACTCACAATATAATGTGTGTTAAAGATTTGCTTGAATTTTCATTCACATCCCACTATTTTACAAGTGTTAAATATTATTTTTTTAATTTAATAAAAACAATACGTTAAAGAAAAAATAAAATTAATAATGGTATTAAGTCATGTAATTCATTTATTTATTTTTATTGTCATAAAGTCTGCCTTAATTTTTGTAAAAAAGAGAGAGAAAAAAGTCAGGTGTTTGAAAGATATTAAAATGAAAGGCTACGCGCAGTTTGTCACTTTACTTTATTGGCGTGTTTAATTTTGGTCAAACTGACTGAAAAAGCACCGAATCCCCTACTTCCACTTTATCCTTGCCTTTTCCCATCGAACCAACCAAAATCTTCCACGTAAATTTTTCCACTCATAATTGTTGGACATATTAGGAGTACAAAAAAGATTGAAACAGATTATCATAACTTGGATAACACCGAAAAATCATCATTTAGAACTTTAATTACCTGACAGACACCCTTTCATCTTTGTTTACCGATCTAATATCTTTTGTAAGAAGACGCGTTCCATACATCGCGTCTTACTGTGATCTGACGTCACGTGGGGTAAGGCACTACCCATGAACCGTGCCTTATGCGATGCATGGGGCGCGCCTTCGGTTACGTACAGGTATAGCGCGGTGCATGAGTCACGCCTTCCTGCAATTATGACATGCACCAAAATGGAGCGGTACATGGGCCGCGCCTTGCATAATTGCATCCACATTTCTCAGGTTTAAAACATATCTTATCCGCTATAAATACCCCTTTCCTCCGTAAACTCTCTCACAACTCGCTCTCAACCAAGAAACTACTACAATACTCCTCTCAGCCAGTAAAAAACATCCGACAATCCTTTTATATTTGATTCAGAAGTTCGTTCGATCTTTCGTTATAAGGTAATTTTTTATAATATTTTTTTTATAATTATATATGATTATTTGAAAAAAATATTGTATTAATTGTTTTCAATTAATTTTTGTGGTTGTAAAATTGGAAAGCAGGAGCATACGTCTAAATATTTTTGCCGATACGCTAATAATATAAAATTATATTATTTAAATTATTTACGTTTATGTGTAAAATTATTTATGTTTATGTGTAAAAAATTTATTGTGTTATATTTTAATTCATATATTATTTATTTATTTAGGTTTGTTTCAGGTTTTTTTTGCATATATAATATTGTCGCACTTTTAAACTCTAAGAATGACACAAATTTCAGCTATTGTTTATTATGATGAAGAAATTCGAGAAGATGAAACCATCGTTATTTTCGTATCAAATCATTATGTTAAAATATCCTTCATGAAAAACATAGCTCCTGAGGAGCTGATAACAAAGATTTCAATAAAAGTTCATGTTGGAAGTACTAGAAGAATGTCGTCGCTGCAGTACATATTTCCAACATTATTGTTGCCATTAACTTATACAACATTCGAACTATCGAACAATGATGATGTTGAAACGATGGTTGATTCTCAAAGTAATTATTCAGACGCCGATACGGAGATGTATGCAAAGTTTGTTGACGTGTGTGCTATTCGAGGCCTGTCATTAAGCTCCCACTATGGGATAGCTGAACAAGTTGGCAGCCCGACTACAGTAATGTGTAATGATTTTAATGTCATAATGGGAAATCCGCATCATATTGCCGTCCCATCAACTTCAATGGGGAGACGTTCATTAGGAACTCTTTACGATCTGTACCGAGGTGTGTCCACGAACAATCCGTATGGCAACATCGCGTCCAGTTCAAGGGGAAGGCATTCATCTGCAAATTTCTTTGACCTTAATATGGAGATGCCCTCAACGCAACAATATGTGCAGTTTCCATTTGGCACGATGGATTCAAGCTCTAGGGGGAGACATTCGACTGCGAGCTTTTTCGATCTCAATGTTGATATGCCTTCTAGTTCAAGGGGAAGGCATGCAAGTAGTAGGTTCTTCGACCTAAATATGGAGAGCATGGAAGAACCATCATCTCCACCAGAAGAACCGCTTCGTGAGCCAGGTGCGGATGGTGCTGAGACTAGACTATTTATTCACCCATAATCACCGCAATTCAACTCCGATGGTGATGGTGATGTAGATGAAGTTCCCTCAAATGTGGCACAAACTGACCCTCTAGCATACATGTATGAAGCTGATTATAGTGCAATGTACGGGCCAAAATTTACGGATATGCCTAATCTCG